CCGCGGTGGCTAGGCCTGAGCGGCGCTTGGCTGCGAGGGCCGCTTGAGGCTCCGCGGAGCTTTAATTAAGTATTACATTGTGTAACAAAGCAAATACCAAGTGTTTCACTGTTTTCAATGTATCAAATAGAATAGAACAGAAATATTCTTTATTGTCCCACACCGGGGAAATCCAGGTAAAGGTGTAATCGCATTCGATGTGGCATTTTTGATTTCATAAAATATACATGTCTAAACCTGGTAATTCTCCTATTTTACCACTAGAGGGCGACATTATACTCTAGTCTAGCTTGAAATCTATTCAAACAGCATAGTTCATTCGGCACAATTTTAATGAACACATTTTGCTCAGTGATCACAGAAACACACATGTAAATGCAATGCTAGTAAAAGGTTAGTTATAGAGAAAGTATAAGAAACTTTAAACTTATCTTGACTTGTTGGGTAAAATCTTTAATGCTCTTTAATTAGTGTTTGCTTGCACTCTGGTACTGCCACTTGTTCTGGTACTGGCAGCCATTGTTGTGGATGCAGAAGTTAATCAGGTATCGCTAACTCAGACTTCCACTTTTAGATTTTCTTCTACGAGGACAAGAACTTCCAGGGCCGCTCCTTTGAATGCAGCAGCGACTGTCCTGAGCTCAGCTCTCACTTCAACCGCTGCAACTCCATTCGAGTGGATGGTGGGACCTGGGTCATCTATGAGAGACCCCAGTATATGGGCTACCAGTACATACTGTTTAAAGGGGAATACCCCGTCTTCCAAAGTTGGAACGGCTTCAATGACACCATCCGTTCCTGTCGCCTCATCAGACATGTAAGTCCTGGCAGATGTTTCAGGAAAAAGCTTTTGATTTCTAATGGATAGCAAAATAAAAGTTCTTATTTTAACTGATTTCTTGATTGTTTACCATGCAAGCCACCCAGTAGGTGCAGGATCCGCATCTATGAACGTCCAGACTTCAGCGGTCAGATGATGGAGTTCAGCGAAGACCTCTCTGACCTGCAGGATCGCTGGCGCCAGCAAGAAGTCCACTCAGCCCACGTCCAAGACGGGCTCTGGATCTTCTACGAGAATCCAAGCTACAGGGGACGGCAGTACCTGCTGGAAAAAGGTGAATACAAGCGCCATTCGGAGTGGGGGGCCCTCCATCCGGCGGTAGGCTCCATTCGACGTGTCGTGGACTTATAGGCCTCCTCTTCAGCTGTGTGATTCCCTTCTCTTATCTTTCACTTCTAAACCTTCATACTAATAAAATATAGACAAACTGCAACAGAATATGGGGGGGGGTTGTAATTATTTTTCATTTAAAAGTCTTAAAAACGTTAATGTTTTCTAGAGATACCATAGCACAACTTGTGTGGTAACTCTAATTGAGTGACCTGCAGAAATACAAGAAGGTGAAAGGTCAAATCTGGCGGGTTTGTGTGCACTACTGCAGGTATGGGTAAGTTTAGATGTGTGTCTATTTTGTTGTAGCGTCAACACTCGTTTGCTTCACTTGACTGGCATGAGCTCTGATCGAATTAAAATTACAGTGTGTCGCAACTCTAAACAGGAAGGAAGGAAAGAGAGAAACAGATTAAAAGAAACTGAACATGCACATAAACAAATGATTTTTAATAATGGAGATGCTTAAATGGAGAGACAAAACGTTTTTATCCATCAAACTTTTTTATTTCACGAGTTTCATTATGCCCATTTCTCAATTGATTACAGCATTTTTTCTTTGATGTAGTCACGGTGAGCTTTGTCCATTGGGAGGTCGCTTATCTGATGTACAGCGGTTCGCTAAGATCACTGTTATTTAGTTTCCACTATCTAAAAGACACTATCTATGTTAACCCAATCAAATCTCAAATCACTATCTTTGCCTCTTTTTTTTTCCTTTTCTTAATTTCTAAACAAAAACAAGCGGCGACTTAGACGTCCAACAATAAGGAGGAAAAAGGTCATGCTTGCATCACAATCTGCAGATGTGCTTGATAATCAGCTGACGACAGAGTGCAATTTCCTGTGACAGGATATGTTGTTTTATATCATGCTTGTTGATCTGCCAGAACGGAAGAATGAACCGGGCCCATGTGGCGTCGTGCACAGGAGTCGACGTGTGGCGGCCGAGTAAACAGGAGACATTGCAAATCAGTAACAGAGCTGCTGAGCTCAGCTGCTGTTCGAACTGGGACTTTTATCACACGCAGATTCGTTTCTGCCATCTCCCGACGCTGAGCAGGCATTTTTTTTTTCTTTTTTTTTTTTTTTTGCGAGGAGGGCAAACGATCAGTGCAGCTCTACAGAGGAAAAAAAAAGGGGGGGGGGGGGGCCCACTCAGGTCATCAGACAGGAATCACAGACTGGGAGTTTCTTTGACCACCTATGGGATTTTCAGCTACTAAAACCCCCAATCAGAGCCTCCTCTATTTCTCATTAAACAATTTGAATACAAAGTGTAAAGATTATGCATATTGGGAGGACTCGAATGAAATTGTTTCTTATTAAAGTGTTACCCTGGATGGACTTACAGAGAGGTTAAAAGGACAAAAGTTATGTTTTCCCTTGGCTGTAATCAGTTGGTTCTCTCTCGGTTCTTTATTGATCAGTGGCAGGAACTGAGGATTTTCTGGTATCGCAAAAGCCCCAAAAGGAACATTGGATTGTGCTGCATCATAGCTGCAGCTGACCTTTAATCTTCTTATGCGCATATCTGGATTAAAGTCTCCCCTAACTACAGTGGGTTTGTTCTCGCTATTGTGCAGAACCATCAGTCATGGAGGGGGGGTTGCTGTGTGAGATTTTTTCCCCAAATAATCACGTGAAGCCTTGGCTGATTTCGCTGCAGCTTATGGAAATGAACTGGAAACAGATCAAAGCAGAACTAAAGGGGGAGAAATTCTGCATCTCACATGGCAAAAAGACCCTTCTGCAATACAGGAATACATATTGTAAAGTGTTAAGCTATGGATTATTACCCTGAGTTGCTCCTTTATATGAATTACATGAAACAACCTGTGAAAATCTGGAAGTTGCACAACTTTTTTTAGGTTTTAGATCGCAATAGTTCAATATATCACCACCTCTAACTGACGTAATAAAGCACAACACAACTAAACACACAGTCAAAACATTGCACCTTGAATTAAAGCTTGAGAAGTGTAGATTTACATTATATTCCTGCAAGCAGTGAATAGGTGATTGAAATAAATTGTGTCTCGGAGTGGCTGCTTGGAGAAAATATAAAACTTTGAGGGTTTGAAACTTCTCTGTGATTTGTCACAGAGGGGAAAGACAGTTTGAGGCCAAAACTAACATTTCAGACACCAAGTTCTGCCAGGATTCAGGAAGGTGTTCCCAGTTCTGCTCCAGTTCTGATACCAATGGAAGTCAACTTTCCCACTTCTCTGAACAGCAGAGTCACCAGAAAGCTGTTTTTTCCCCTCCTTAGCTCTACAGTGGTAAGTTAAAACAGTATGAGTTCAGACACCCAGAGGAAAATCATCTATGTATTTACATGGCTTCACCATCCACATCCGTATCCTGGCTTGAAGCAGTAATTGGAAACAGAATCACATATAAGGTAAAGCCCCTTGCAGCTCAAATGCAACTTGAGTAAAAACTAGCTTGCCCACCACAATGTTTACAAATGCCAGCCGGGGAGCACAGTATTTGTGTTTTCTTGTGACGTCATCGACTTGAATACACGCAAAGCAGAAGTAGGAGTTATTTTCATTTTTGCACTTTAAAAAAAAAGTATTTTGTGGAACCCTGGGGAAATCTTCTTGTTTAAATGTATAAAATTATAACTTGAGTTGTATTAAATTACAGTGTTGCGTTGTTGTTCCACTGTGTTATATGAAGATACATATTCAGTCGAAAGATGTTAATTTACGCTCATTTATTTTTTATTTATTCAAATTGGCGGCTCTGGCCCTTTAAGAAAGCTGTGAATTCATGAATGAAACGCAGTCATTCATAAAAAAACAGAACGTACGGACGTCAGAGCTATGTTGAAAGTGATTGGCTCAATTTTCGATTGACTCCCTCTTCAGCCAATGGGATGGCTGTACTCTGCTTAGCTTATCTGAGAGCTCTTCATTGAGAAAAATCCACAGCCGAGTGTTTATTCGTGGAGCTGCAGGCGATGTAGGGGGAAAAAACTGCGACCACTTATTTTAAATCACTCTTCCAATAACAACTTCACTACCCAGGTATGTTTTGCATTATATTATTGATGGGTATATAAAAGTTGGTCGAAACGTGCTTGTTTTTTCCCCCGTCTATCCAGGCAAACCGCAGAGTCGCGGTTTGTTGCTGGCTGTGAAGGGAGCAGATACTGGTTAAAGAGGCGAACGCCATTTTCTAGCAATCAAAGCCAACATGCGTCCATTTCCGCGCATCTGTCGGCCCCGCAGGACGCTGTTTCTGTTTGCATTGACTGTTCTTTTTATTATTATTATTGTTGTTATTTTTCGTTTTGTTAGCTTTATGAATATTTTTTCCGTTCTCTCTGGTAAATTTCTCAATGGTGAGCTGCCCTCCTCTTCTCCTCCTCCACCTCCTCCTCCTGCTGAGGATCAAGTTTCACTTCATTGAGAAAAACAAGGAGGTCCCACAGCGGTCAGCGCCAAACTCCATTCACAATTTGTCCAATTTTACGTTCGGCTGTCTCGCTTAGTAAATTTTAGTAAAAACGGTTGGTTTTCTTACAAGTATGTCGCAAAACTTAAATACATACTGTTTACGTCGTTTTGAAACGACGTAAAACAAGTTGCCCATCACAAATTATCTGCTTTTGCTGTCAGTTCCTTGAATCTGTATTGTATTTTATTGGGATTTTAGGTGATAAAACTAGCCGAAGGTGGAGCTAAACCTAAGCCGAGGTAGACATTTTCCGTATAAACTGAGATTAACTCGTCATTTTGATAAAACCATTTGGAAATTGACTTATCGGGAAATTAACTCCTTATCTCGAAAAAACCATGAGGGGAAAGTATAATGCGAAAACGTCCACTCTCGGCTTCCTTTGGGCTTACATTTTGAAGTGGAAGGGAAGGATAAACAAGAACAAATCTGAAAAGTGTGGTGTGCATTTGTACTCCCTTCAGAAGTCGTCTTGTTAGTTAATCGTGAACATGTTAGTACTTTACTTTCATTAATACAACTGTTCTGTTGTATTTGTGAGAAACTGTATCATGAAGAACAATAATCATGTGTTCGAATGGCCTAGTCAAAGTCTACCCCTAAATCCTCTTGTGCTGTCTGGATATAAATATTTTTGCTTTGCCCATTGACAGTGAGCATTTCAAGGCCACTGTGAACAAAACCGAAAGACATCATGCTTTCTTGCCTTCTCTCATGTTCATAACTCATGATGTCACACAGCTTTTGTTTGCAATGAGGCTGCTAGAGGCACAGCTAAGCCCTGCTGTCTGGTCGCAGAGGTCAGAACAACATAAACCAATTGAGTCACTTTAAGGGGATGATTGTTGTATGAATGGAGGGTTAAATCAGGTGGAAACAGCCGCAGATCTGATGCATTGAAGTGTTTACCTAATAGCGCCCGCTTGTCCTGCCCTCCAGGGTGAACACCGCTGCAACATGGACGGCTTTTACGATCAGCAGGTTCCTTTTGTGGTGCCCGAGAGTGTGAGTTTTTAACCTGCCGATTTTATGTCCCGTTATTTATCGGTTTGTGCATTGCAATCTGATTTGTTTCTACCGCTGCCGGTCGCAGAAATGCCACACAGAGGGGGAGAGGAGTCTCGGCGACAGACGGAGGAGGTTCTTGGACACAGAGCTGGCTCAGGACACAGAAGGTACAATCACCTTGGTCGACTCTGTCTCCGGTGTTGATGTTTCCAAATGCAGAAGTTCACGTGTAAATTTACTCTGCGTTTGTCTTTCAGAGCTTTTTCAGGATCTGATCCAGCTCCAGGAAATATGGATTGCAGAAGGTAAAAAGCAAAGCAAACATTTATTTAAAAATAGCAGCTACAAAAGCTACCTGCTATTAATAAAACCGAACACGCTGCATGTATTGATTATTTTTGGCTCAGCATTTCAGCAAGTCCTTAATCATCCTGTCTTCTGCCATCTGACAGCTCAGGTTCCTGATGATGAGCAGTTTGTCCCAGATTTCCAGTCCAATAACTGTGAGTAACTACTTCTCCTCTCGTATTTATAGATGTCACCCACAGTTACACAAGCAGCATTTCATAAAAATGACAGTGATTTATTATGCAAACATTTATTTTGGTTGAGAACCCTACATGCAAATTACATTTGCTTATGTAACAGAGCATGACTTTTGTTTATAAACTATGAAAGGCAAATAATGGAGCCATTTTGTTCCCTGCGTGGTGGCGGCTGTGTATATTTAATCCTATTCTGTTGTTGCAAATTGCAAATGAAGACGTGTGAAAATAGTCTGAGCAAACGGTGCTGCCCACTCACTTGAGAAAAATAAACTGCTTTCCAGATAATGAGTTTGTTCTATTTATTTTTACCCTGGGTGTTGGACTGCAAGTAGTGTGGAGGAGAAAATTATGTTGTTCCAAAGCTGCCACAATGTAATAAATAAACCATTAAATCAATATTAATCACGTAAGTCCTTAAATGTTACACTTGTACACAGTATTCAAATGTGTTGTTCTGCAGGAAACCATGAGAAAAAGTAAAATGTCAAACATAGTTAAATTAAATTACGATTTGCTCTGTGAGAACTGAATACTCCCTATTTCCATTCATTTGTTGTTGGTCCCTTTTTAGGTCAAGTGGAGAATAAACTAAAACCGACTCAAACCAAAACCACAAACCCCTGACAAACCGCCAACCCATAACTACATTTAATTACAGTAGAAGATTTGATTGTGTACAAAAACTTCTGCTGCCTCTTAATGCATTATTCTTCAAACTTTTCTCACGCTATGACTATTGTTGTACAGATATTTAATGTAATTGTACTGAGATTCCCCACAATCCCACCAAAAAACAATAAAATTTGTTGTAGAATCTGAACTTTGGATTATAGAAAATAACAGAAAGCTTAAATGTAAATTGTGTTCCTTAAATTATTCAGTATTTCATTCCCTTTCCACACATCTAATTACTTTTATATTGATTTGGCTGAATTTTGGCACTTTTACTTCCCCATATTTTGACAGTGAATTGCAGCAATTTTAGCGCTCTATGCTTTTTCATAGAGCTCCAAATTAATCATTTAAAGTTTTCCACTGTTAGAGGTGCATATTCTTTATGAAACTATCACTTGTAGACCTCCATACATTCACCGAATTTTGGCACATATTGCCTTCTATATATTTGATCCTTTTCTGAGATGAGACTAATAGAAACTGATCCAGGAATGTCACACTAGTTTACAAATTGCAGCAAAAGGTATAAAGAAGCCATAAAGGGTTTTGTTTTCTAGAGATCTATATAAAAATATTATGATTACGTGCACGAACAGCTGTTATCAGGAGTTGTTTGTGCACAATAATCTCTGTGGGCAGCTGTTGGCCTTTAAAGCCATCACTGCTCCCAACACATTCAGTGTTCCATTGTGATATAGATGAACCCAGTCGACCTCTAAGGATACCACTGTACTCTGCTGTGTTTCCAAGCAAAGATTACGCCACATTACCCAGAGACACACAAATGTGTTGGAGCTTTGCCAAATCAGTGCTAGTAGTCACAAGAGCAGGAAATGAGGGGGGTTATAAGACGGCATCTGGGGCCGGTGTATCGATGTTATATCGTGACTCAAAGTAGGTACATTAGGTGCCGTTCCCACACACGTGGCGCTCGTATTTAGTGCCGCTTTAATGACGGCTCCCGTGACAGAACGTCTCCAGACCGAGGCCATAAAGCCGCCTGCGAGAGTGTCGCACATGGAAATGTTTGTGGCCTGTTGGCGTCACGGCAACATGCTGATGGCAATCTGACGGCTCCTTCCAGGAAAGTTGAGCTCGGACATGAGAAAAACACACAGAGGAGAAAAGGAGAGCGAGCTAAAGAGCTCTGTTGAATCCGAGAAAAGACCTCAGAAATCGTGAGGAATGGAGAAATCTTATCCTTGGACATTTTTTTTCTGTTGTTGCGGGAGCATAAAAAAGTCAAATATACTGAAACATTCTTTTGTAATGTCTGTTTGCAGTGATGCTTCATGGACCGCCTGTCAGCAAAGTGAAGCGGGAGCCCAGTCCATCCCAAGATCTGTCCCCCTGTGGGACTCCCCAGACTGATATGTGCCTTTACAATTACAGGTACCAGATAAATGTTTGTAAACGGGATTTCTCTGGTCACTTTTACACATTTTTATGTTATCTTACTACCTTACTTGTCATATTGTGAAGAGATTTTGGGAAATAACTATGGAACCAACCTCCAACTTATTTATATTTTGCAAAATAAAAAAAAAGCCATGAGGATTGAATAAACTACACTCTTTATGTCATCGTCTCCCTTAGTGCCTGTGAAAACAAACCGGGACCAGCCAATGCACCTGCAACACAGTGTAGCTCCATCCACCCTGCCGGACCCCCACCCTTACGGAGGCAGCTGCAGCCTTCCCCACCTCAAATGAGCAGCCGAGCTCCATCTTCCAACCCCTTCCACCGCCAAAACCTCCCGCAGGCCAGCCAAAGCCAGCAGTTTGCGCTGCCGCGTACCCCCATGGGCTGCTCGGCGGCGGCTTTCAACACAGAGCAAAGGTGAGCTCTGATTTTTACCTGAATGTTTGTTTTTGTTTTTTACGTGCATCTCCACGGACGACTCAGACCTTCCTTTGGTCCTCCCAGGTTCCACCGGCAGCTGTCCGATCCCTGCCTGCCCTTCCTGCCTCCAGAGAAAACCCAGAACCCGTCGTACCACCCCTCCAGCTGCGACGGCCGGCCTCTGTACCAGCGCCACCTGTCAGAACCCGTCGTCCCCCTCCCTCCCCGCGCTTTCAAGCAGGAGCTGGTGGACCCACGCTATCCCGACCCGGGGCCAGCCGGTCCAGGTCTGGCCCCGCCCCAAGCCAACTTCAACCACGTCAAAATCAAACAAGAGCCAAGAGACTTCAGCTTTGAACCTGGTATGTTTAAAATGCTTGTTTTTTTGTAATATGCATAATAACTTTTGGGCTAAATAATTTGTGCCAGAAGCTTCATTGGATCTCTCACTTGTCTCTTTTTCAGAGGTTCAAACCTGCCAGTCGACATTTGGAAAGTCTCCAGTTCTGTTTCAGAAAAACAACGCTGGTGAGTTCTAGTTAATGGTTTGCTATTCTGCCTTACGGGAGTCCAAACTGCCACGATTTAATAAGTAAACACAGAGAATCGAAAAGTGCCCTAATTTAGCACAACTGAAGGAATGAATCCATGTTTCAACTGATAACTTAAATAATTCTGTTTTTGTAGTTATTTCAGAACTTGATGATTGGACAGCATCACTTTTTTGGGACTTTATGTTGCAGAGGACTATGAGATTATTAGCTAAATTAAAAGTAAAATAATTATGAATGCTTAATTATGAATTAATAAAATTCAGTTCTGTTTAACTTACTTTCATATTAAATGTTTACTTCTTTTCTATTTATTTATCGATTGAGTTGTTGCCCATTTGACCTTTTATATGCCACAATTTAAGACATTAATAATATCCGAAATTCCAAAACTAAATGGTTTGTTAGATGAAACTGAAAGATAATGTATTAAAATATTTCATTTATGTCAGCAATAGAAAAAAAATATTCACAAAAGAAAATAGTATAATGACATGCATAACTCAATTTTTAAAAATATTTTTTTCTCCACAGGATTTGGTCCTGACGGAGAGCCTCTTCGGTACTTTGATGACACCTGTGTTGTACCAGAAAGACTGGAAGGTAGGTTACTGGCACACTGCTTAAAAATCCTCTGTATTATTTCATTTTATTCTCAGCCATTAGAAATGAGCGGAATCTGATGGTTTTGGAGGCCGAAGCGAGACGAGTGAACTCTGTGTTTGTCTCTCGCGGCCAGGTAAAGTGAAGCAGGAAGGTTTGCCGTACCAGCGCCGCGGCTCCCTGCAGCTCTGGCAGTTCTTGCTCACGCTGCTGGACAATCCGGCAAACAGACACCTGATCGTGTGGACGGGACGCAACATGGAGTTCAAACTGATCGATCCGGAAGAGGTGGCGCTTTTAGTCTGAAGACTGCCAGTTTTAAACTATTTGTAAGAATAGTTCTTTGATTTTAATAATTTTATTGCCTTTTTTTTTTTTTTTGGTTCAGGTGGCTCGCCTCTGGGGCATCCAGAAAAATCGGCCAGCCATGAATTACGACAAGCTGAGCCGCTCGCTGCGGTACTACTACGAAAAAGGCATCATGCAGAAGGTAAAGGCGAGTCATCCACCTTTCTCATCTACACAGCCTCACACGATTCTCTTTTCTTTAAAGATTTTTTTTTTTTTTTTTTTTTAATACTTTTATTTCCTCCTGCAGGTTGCCGGGGAAAGGTACGTCTACAAATTCGTGTGCAACCCCGACGCGTTGTTCTCCATGGCATTCCCAGAAAACCACAGGCCGAGTTTGAAAGCCGACCTGGACGCGATCTTGCCCCCCAGCGAGGAGGACGGCTTCCCCCTGCCCAGCTACGAGGACGAGGGTCCGTACCTGATGGACGGAGGGGAGCAGTGCGTCCAGGGACTGGCTTTCCCCGACAGCTACCCGTACTAGCAGCTGGAACGGGGGAAAAAAAAACTAAACAAAAAAAAACACAATATTACTGTATTTTACAAAACCAGGCGAAACGTAAAATTACTGAGCAACATTTCAGATAAGCATTTATTTTATTTTATTTTATTTTTCTCGGCAAGAAGTTTAGTTTTTTAAAAAAAATGTCAATGCAACCAGAAAAAGCTGGAAATCTGAGTCACTGAGACTGTTAAACTTGCTTCTTCAGCGAAGAAAACAAACTTTAGTTCCTCTTCAGATGATTGTGTTTACAGGCATTTCAAGGTTGTTTAAGCCGGCGTGGGAAGGGTTGCTCCTCCTTTAGAGGAAAAGTCAGTCGTTATTAAATTGGGACACGTTGTTTTGCGTCTGCACAAAATAACTGCAAGGAACCTTAACATTGAAGAGGAAAACGCTGACCAGAAGATGCCCAAACATTTAAAGATATGGTTTTAATTTTAAATAAAAGAATTGCCAGTTTTGCCCCATAAATATTCAGTGGCGGTTCTTGATTACTCGGTGGGCGAGCGTGCATGCGTTCATTCCTTTAGTCATCGTTTTTGTTCTCAAATACAATATTACTTGACTTTCAGAAATCATTTTAAATAATGTTATCAGTATTTAACTTTTCAGTTAAACTTTGTATATACTGTGGTTTTCACGCTTGTCTCAACCTCAAACGTCAACTTTTTTTTTTTTTTTTTTTTTTTTTACTCTAACTGTCGCAGCACTAAATTTGTTGAGGGCACAGTGGACTTAATTTTATTTTTGTTGTTGTTGTTGTTGCCGCCCCCTAACAGAGTGATACCCTGGATGGTAAGCCACATTTTTCATATCAAAAACCGCCACTGCTGTTAAAGGAATCTGAACAAGTAAGGCCAGATTGTCGGAAACAATGTTCTTTTAGCAATTTCTCTTGATTGCATGATTGAAGCTGTAACTCTACAACTAATGTCTGTAGCATTTTCTTCTAAAGCTGCAGCTGCACTTAAGCACAGATATGCAGTGTTTTGTCCCTCACAAACCTTGTCATCAACTTTTTCTTAGTGTTTCAGTTGCCGCTTTTTCTTTTTTGTTTTTTTTGTTCTTTTTTTTTTTTTTTTTTTTTTTTTCCAGCGGTGGTAATTTTGTAGCATGGCCATCGCTTCTGTTCTCAAATTTGTAAACTCTGGGACCTGTTTGGCAGCCAAAAACAAAAAATAAACCTTGAAGCCATGGCACTCCTTTTGCTAATTTAGTAAACATATTACCCAGAGTGCTCGAAAGGGACGCTCTTGTGTTTTCTGGACCGTATAATCCTGAGACATCTATATGTTGAAAATGTCTTTTTGTGTACATTTTTTTCCCCTTGGGTTTTAAAGCTAATATTTTTAGCATTATATGGACTTGTATGTATTTCCTATAACGGTTTATGATGAAAGTATTGCTTCTATTTTTTTTTTTTTTGGGGGGGGGGGGATCCTGTATGACTGCCACTCTTATGCTTATGAAAGGCATGTTTTTTTTTTCTTCAAAACGCCTCACCATTTAATGTACCGAGATAGTTTTCTGCATTTTTGTATAATTTGTTTGCTTCAGTGTGTGTAGAGAAAAAAAAAGTGTATAATTATATATGGATATATTTTTGCAAAAGGCTGTATTTGCTTGCAAATATGTTGCATCAGCTTTCCAAGGAGGAAGAACTTTCTGAATCCTTCAGGCAGAAGATGTTCCTCATATATTTTACTATAGATCCTGACGCTGGTGTGACTTTTACCCTCAGATACTGTATGTGTGCCTTCTGTTTATCTTTACTGATAAAAAAAATAAACTATTTTACTCTTTTATTTTCGCCTCAGTGTCTATCACAAAAAAACATTACGCAAGCCCACTGAGGAGGAAGTTCTTGGATTCTGTGGACATCCTCCAGGGGGCGCAGCTGCTGGGTCAGAGGCTACATAAACTGAAGGAGGTGCATCTCAAATTTTATAATTCAGCAGTTAATTGAACTTATTCAACTAAGCTGAAATTTCATGCTTTTATTTATGCTAATTTAGATAATTATTAACTATAAAAGGATACAACAACTCGATGTGGACGCAATAGAGGCTTTTGCCCGCTAGAGGGCAACCAAACAACCACACAAACGCCCATTCCCTGAAAATATGCTTTTAACAATACACAAGCTATTTATCGTGTATTTCTATATGAAAGTTTGAGGTTTTATTTCTATTTAACAAAATAAGTGAATAACGTTATTATCTGGATATATTTATTTTATGAAGTTTTGCGCTCGCGTTGATTCGTTGTGCTTACGTCACATCCGGCAGTCATAAGAGAACACGTTTACATCCGGTCTGCGAGACGTGGTCTTTATCCTTCCGTTTTAAGGCATAAGCCCTAGAAAAACAAGCCAATCTTTAAAAACGAGCATAAATGAATAAGTTTTAGCAACGCACATAGCATTTCTTTTTTCAAAGTATCACTTTGGACATTAATTTCGAGAGTGCAGTAGTTGTTCAAATTGACATTTTGCATTTCATTTGACGAAACCACTTGCTGGATAACCCAATTCAAAGTGGTGGTTGAATAGTGTTTATCGAAAATCCATGCTGTCTGGTGTGACCAGCCTTCCAGAAACATCCCTCTTCTGTTATTATTATTATTATTATTATTATTATTATTATTATTATTATTTATTATTATTATTTCCACCAATCTCAGTAAAAAGAAAACAACAGTGAATACAACTGCTGAACAACTTCTTTATTTTGGAAAAAAGAAAGTCAAATGTCTCTTGTTTTGAATGGAATACGTGGATTTCAGGTATTTTCCTCTTTCTTTTTTTTTTAATATATAAACCCAATTGTACATTATGCATGCAATACTGTATTAGCCACTGAAGATTTCATTTCCACAGAAAAAAACAAAACAAAACAAACAAGTAACAACACAAAATTCCCTCAAAAGTCCAGATGAAGCTGCATGGAAAAGGGTGGTTTGGAGAAGCCACAGCATGAGGCCATGTACACAGTTTGCGGTTGTAGTACATGTTCCTCATCTTTAAAACAGCATGCTGCTTTGTATTGCACATTACTGAAACTATGTATACTGAACCTCGCCGTTGTCCCACGTGAAGTCTAGTCTCATTTTAGCACATGTATACAACAAATAGCATCTCTCAGAGAAAGAAAATCTTCCCCGTGTGTTTTGTCTGTTGTGATCATCTTGAGGTTTGTCTGTTTCTATCCAAAAGCAAAGTGTGTGTGTGTGTATGTGTGTATATATATATATATATATATATATATATATATATATATATATATAAATGTGTGTGTGTGTGTGTGTGTGTGTGTGTTGTTTTGTTGTTGTTAGATTCTTTTCTCTGATTGCCGTGATCTCAACAGGCTGAAGTGTACCCTTAATAATTATAATTTTTTATTTTTCTGTACCCTGACTCTCATGTTTCTCTTTTACTTTTGTCACTTTTACTGAAATCAATTTGAAAGTCATGAATTTATTTGTAAGAAAATATATTTCTGTTTATGCACCTGTTTTACACCTGCACTTGAGTAATTATAAGTGAACAGAAGGAGTGACGCTCTGTGGATCTGCTTCTAATTCACACTTACAAAGGAAATATTAATTTAAGATTAAAAGAGACAGAAGAGTTGGGAAATAATATTAAAGAGCAACAAGGTCATCATTAGCCAATCAGGAACAGGAAATCAACATCTGCCATCTAGTGGACACAAATAGGAACTGCCACACAATTTACATTGCATTTCCTTCTACCTGAATTCATCTGTATATTAAATTTCTACATAACTCATTACAACTCCTGCTGTTCACATAACGCATTTAATTTTTTTAATTATTTTATCAGAAAACAATTTAACAGCAATTTAATAAGAATGGGTCAATATTTGGTTTGTAGCTTTAGATCATCTGCAGTTACCCCTGGCTGTCATTAAGAGGAAGTAAAACTGTAGATATAAACATAAACATTGAATCTGTGAGCTCAGCTACTTTCTGTGTCACATGCTTTCACTTCAGTATCTATATGCTACATACTGAACGCTAAGGGACCAACGACTGCCTGACTCTTTAGTAGCTGTTAATGTGTAATTTTGTTAAGATTACTTACCATTCACATTTTATGTCCCGTGACCAAAGCGAAGCAGCAAGCCCTGCAGTTTGGTACAGAGTCCTGCGATAGCAGGGAGTCAGACTCATATGCTTTAGTCAGCGCTAACCATTAGGAAAACATCTTACATCGTCTTACATTGTGAAACAAATTTAACGTCAAAGCAAAACTTTGATTCATAAACAAAAACTTAGAATCGCAAGCAAAAGTTTGAGAAGCACAACCAAAAAATAGAAGATTGCAAGCAAAAGTTTGAGAAGCGCAAATAAAAGTTTATATTTTGCAAATAACTCTTTTACTTCATGAGACAAAAATTAGTGATTTTAATAACAAATATATATAGTTTTTAAACACAATTTTTTGTAAAAAAAAACAAAATATATCCTGACAGTTCCAAAAGTTTTGATCACAATTTTATTTTATTTAAATTGACATCAGTTTTTTTTTATTGAATAATTGTGAAACAAATTTAACTCCATATTTTCTGCTGCAGTGACTCGATAATGATGTCGTGATACACGAACCACAGCTTCCCTCTGCCGCCACCTAGTGGATAAAAGCTTGACGTTTTACCGCTTCTACATTGCAACTCAGTGACGCATTGGCCATACCTCGAAACTTCTGAAATGAGGACCTTTTAACATCTTTAAAGCAAAATGAATATCTTATACGATATAAATTAACATCTTTCTTGAGTATAAATCCAGGGCGAAGACCAAAGACTACTTTTCAGCATTTTACGTTGAAAAAACAGGAAAATGACAGCACAAAAAATAACGTGACCTGTGTCAAGGTACAACTCAAACAGTCGCGCGGCGCTTCTTTCTCACACAGTTAACTGCTAGTTTACAATTTTTATTTTTTGGCTAATTAGGTTTTTGCTACAAACGGAACAAAAAAAAAATAAATAAATCAGGACCCTGAAGTTTTCGAGTACCGGGTCCCGCCATGAACTGTTTGTGAAGTGATAAATACGAAGTTCCACATCTGCCGACTGCTTGCGCTACTTCCAGTGAGCGATTCTGTGTCTGGAGCCTCTGACTCGTGTAATAGGATCCATCCTACAGACGATGCTGTATTTATCATCATTGCTCCTGTTTTGTTCTCAACCAGCTCTGTTGTTTATTTGACCTTTTGGGAAACATTTCCAGGTAATTGTCGTGACAGACTATATTCTACAACACCTCAACCCCATATTTTTAGGGGTATTTCTGATTCCTCCGAGTACTAAGACGTTTTTCCGGGTTAACAGTTTTTCAGAATATACGGAAGACTGATGTCCCACAGCAAGCAGAGAGCTCGGTGACGGTGGAGGATGTGGACGCGACTCTCAGGCACAGCAGCGACGGTGGTCCTTGGACAGTAGGACAGCACTGGTGAGTTTGACGTGTTCTTAATTTAAATGGTGTGGTGTCTATGTTAGTTATGGACACAGCTGTTTTGACCGGCTTCTTATGTAGCATTCAAGCGCTAACCTCGTGGTGCATTAAAGTACACCTCGTACATTATAACGTTTTAAAATAATTTTGCTTAAATGATTTATTTCACCACATTGTCATTTAAAACTTCTTAGCTAACATGATTAATAATGTTTATTCTGACCAAAATTACAATTACTTCTACATTGATTAGTGTTTTAAAAAACCTGAAGAAATGTTCTTTTAAATATGACTAAACGTAGTCTGACAACTTGGGGGCACTCACAAAGCTTTGAAATCTCTCTTGTAGTAATTGAACAAGGAAATGTTGCGGACCTATTAATGATGCTGAAGAACACTGAATTCCACAGCCTTTTCAGATTAAGATTCATGTGACATGTTAATTATATATGGGAAGATAGAAAACACCATAACAGCTCAATGACTGCCATTTCCTGCATGTCATGTCTTTTCCACGTTCCATCTTAGCAATATGTTTCACACAGGAAGATAATTGGTGGTGTGCCATCTGCTACTACATTTCCCCTGTAAACCTTTTCAGTTTCTGTGTTAATAGCTGACATGCTGACATTTACAAATATGTCAAAAGTTGAAACATTTGTAAAAAAAAAAAAAAAAAAGTGATCTCATAAATTTGAGATTGGAGTTGTCTTAAAATGGTAGAAGTCCATTTTGTGAACTGTTAGACCTAGCGTCCAGCTAATCTGAATTTATACCAAGATGTGTTGCAGAGGGAGTTATTGACTCCAGATAAGATATTAACTGCTTCTAATCTTTTTAACTCATTTTAACTTTTTAACTTTCCCTTTAATAACTTGAACACGTTAGCCTATATTTTGCTGCTTCTCAAACTCAGATCCACTAAATGCAGGAAGATGAGGAGAATGTCTGGGCTTTGCTACTTTTGAGCTGCTTAGCAACGGGCGAAAATAGGGTTTAAAAAATAGTTGTTGAGCTTTACTCTTTCATTGCTGAAGTGTGCTGTCATTGGTCCTTTTGGGCTCATTAATTTCAATGAATGTTGACTTGGAATAGATGAATTCATGAACTCAAATATTCTGCACAGGTGCATGCTTAACATCTGTAATATGTGCACAAAAATGATATATTCTGCAGCAAATGATACCCAGACTAGTACATTCAACCAGCTGCATGCGGGACTTTTGTCAGAAGAAATAAAGACAAAGTAAAACAGTACAAAAGCTCAAATAAAGTCTAAAGAATGTGCAATTAATCTGATTCATATTTTAATTTAAATGTTGTACTTTGTACATATATGCTAAAATTATTTTTGCCACATTCTGCTTTGCAGAATGTTGTTATAGTGCAATAAATCCAAACTCAATAAGTAATCATGTTAAATAATCATAATTTTTGTTTTCTTTTTCTTTTTTTTTCCATAATCGGGCAGTTCTACTACATCCATATTGCATGCAACACCAGACTACAGCCAACTGTGGTTTAGTTTGAACAACCTTCTGAGCTGTGCAGTCCAAAAATCCTTATCTAAAATCATGAAGGTGCCCTCCTTAAATGCAATTGATCTTTTTCTCTTTAAGTGAAGTTTGTGATTATCACACATCTTAACTTAGAAATCACTCTGCGTAGACATCAGACAAAAAAAAAAGTCAATTATAATGAAAAGGGAAGTTCAAAAGTTTGAGCACATCCCTTCATTATGGAGAATAACCCAGGAAGTGTAAATTTGACACATTTCTGTGAAACTCCATAAACCTCCTCGAGCAGTCATTTGAATAAACAATTTCCATATAATTATTCTTATATGCAAACGATCTGTAGAATAAATGGGGAAAAACAGGATATTGAACATAATCAGAAACAGCTGCAGCTCTCTGTATTTATACAAAGCACCATATGGGGGTTCAGTAAACTTAGACTGCATGTGATGCCTTTGTGAATTTTCTGACATGACTGAAAAGACAAAACTATGATTGCGGTGGCTCCAATTGTACATCATGCAACATCCACGTATATTTTGTCCCGTATGCCATTTTTATCAGCCGGAACACTAACCTCATAAATCTTGTTAATGGTTTTCACCTGTTCTGCAGTTTGGGTCTGTATTTTTAATTGTTCTTTACTCTTTTTTTTTACTTTTTTTTTTCCATAGTTTTAAAAAAAATATTGGGTTGAGTACATGAGGTTCTTATTGTAGGGAGCATGCTCTGCAGTCAGGTTGTCATGCCAGCTACAAAAGTGAAATAAATGCAATGCCACTGATCCTGGTATGGTTATTTTAACCCCATTTCAAGAAAGAATAATAGGGACAAACTGATAAGTGTGTGGTTAAGTGAAAAATAGCCACAAAAAAATCTCCATATATGCTGATGATACTGTAATTGTAAAAGATCAAGGGAAATAAAACCAAAGAAACATCCTGACTTGCTTCAGAGGGTCTCACCCTTTTACAAACAACACTAAAAACATATCAGGTAGCGTCTTAATATTGCAATTTACTATCCTAGACACACAGAGATAGTGCTTCCTTTGTGCTACCTGCTCAGAGCAGAAGCTCTAAAGCGTAGCTCGGATCTGATCCCAACAACTTCAGCATCTTGTCCATCTCTGACCGTGAGGGTCTTCACCTTAATGAGATGCTAAAGCTATGCTACAGAAAAGCTGGCCTTGCTCAAAGTGACTTGCAAATAGCAAAGAAATGTTGAGGGACACGGGGATAGGGGATGTGAAGCACCAGTTTTCAAAGCTATCTGCACACCGGACCACAATCCCCACCACTAACTGCTGATCCACGACCGGATGATTTAGAAAATTGGACCTAAACCTTATCCAGAATGCTAGGTACAAAATATTAGCTAAGTGGATGCGGAGGTTGACCAACTATTGGCATGCAATAAGCTAAATGGTGAGAGGATTTATACACGGCCCAGGATAGGGGCAGCAGCCTTTCAGTCAGCAGTCTGTGTGCAGTGGACATCCCTCCAGTTTGATGCGACACTCCAGGTACACAATGCCTTTATATCACCATCTGACCAGTAGTCAAAACTAGCTTGTTGACAGACGCAACAAGCACAATCCGTGCTGCACATCTGCTGAGCGTTGTGTTAGTACAATCCAAGAAGATCCCCGAAAGATAAAGGAAAAGAATTTTAGTGTTAATTATTGTTGGCATTCAGAATCTTCTGACTTCTTCATGCTTTTGATTGACAGTTTGATTAAAAACAAATACCTGATCAGTATTCTAAGAGAAAAATTGCCAGGCAGGCCAGACAAGAAAGAAAGAAAAATAAGGTACAATTTGGGGACCATCTTGGCTCTATTGGAGGATTTATTTTCAGTGGAACCTGGGTCTGTAGGGTCCTGGTGGCAGCAGAAGTGGGCTCAGAGCCGCTGCCTGGAATCGTGGCTGTAGCTGCCCGGTGAACTTCGATTGCGATGGGGCTTGTAGGCGTCCTGATAGGGGTCCTGGTAGTCCTGGTAGGGGTCCTGCTGCTCTCGGCTGTGCTGTGAGCCAGAAGACATGCGGTTGCGTCCCTTATGCGCTCGCTCATTGTGGTAATTTTCGTCTGATGTCATCAGGTTGCGCCGCTCATTTGCGGTGGAGTGGTCTCCTGTGTGGTTGCTTTGTCGCATTTTTTGGCTCTGATGATCACATGAATGTACCAAAGAGACAGATGAGCCACTAAAAAAAAAAAAGACTAGACAGTGTTGCTGAACCATTGTAGATAATATATGTACAACAGAAGCTCAAGGCACAAAGAGTTTCCTTTTCTGAGAATCAAAAGTCCCCACATGAGGACATTCAATTGTGCTGTGGACACAATCCAATGGTGTTTTACCTCAAATGCACTGAACGTACCTGCAGACCAGAGATGCTGGTGGGATAAGGGGTGAGAGTAGTGGGCCCCAGGTTCCGACCCATCAGAGGGTTCAGAGGTGTTGCCATCGAGGTATGAGTTGCTTTCCAGTAGGCCTCAAGGTATTCAGCAAGGTGTTCACAGGCGTCTTCCAGCTGGTTTTCATCCAGGATGATGTCAAACATTTCCTGTCGGTAAAAGATGGCAGTAGAAGAAGATGCGCAGACCCTTTTGTTCTAGATAAACTCGGCATCAGGTGTCATTTAAGAAGATGTTATGCAATCCATACTTACGTCTATTATTTCGTGATTGTTTGTTTTCCTTTTGCTTGATTTAGAAATATTAAAAGGGGACCTTTTAAGGTCAAAGGCTGGGTGCTTACCGGTGGACACTGAGACAGTTTTTCTGCTGCCACAAGCTGGACATTTAGGTGTTTGCTCTGCGACTTTCCTCTGGATTTGACTAACCTCTGAAGAACCTGGATGAGGGAGAAGTGAAAGAGTGCCTTGAATAAGAAGAATGCAGAATCTAATCCATGATGACTAAGGAAACAAATATAAGTTTTCAGAGATCTAATTTTGAGTTTTTAGTTAAAATGTAGAATTCTCTCAGTGGACTCTAGTCTCGCTTTACCTTTGGTGAGGAGACTTTGACATGGACAATGATGGGCGCCAGTGAAGTCTTGAGGAGCTGGGCCGGGTGGTTGATGGTGTCGGCGTCCAAGACGACCAACTGAAGGGAGCGCGCCAACTCAAAGATTCTTTCAATCTCACTTTGCACCTCAGCTGTAGACAAACATTTCTCAATTGGCAGCGATTTCTCAAGTGTAAACCACCGTTTAGTTTTCTCATGTTTATCAAGATGTTCTGCTTGTAACAATAGCCAGAGAAAATCTTACCTAAGCTGGAACGAGTGTTGGATCTTTCAATTATGGCTCGCTTACTGGGGTTGTTCAGAACGGACCTCTTGGCCAATGAGATGTCTGCAGTGACTCGTGTTATAGTTATCCTAAAAAACAGGGGGGGAGGTACTGTACACAATTGTATGGATGTTGGCAGACATCTTCTAATGTTTTGTCGCCTTTTATCTGAAACCAGATGGTAGTGAAGCTTTTTAAGTACCCTTTATTTTAGATTGTGACTGACAGTGACTTCCAATTTTCCATGGTAATCATATGTCACTGTTGCATATGAAAAACATGCAGCAGTGACACTTTGCAGAATATTTCAATGTCAGTTACTATTAAGAAAGATTTTCCTTTCTTTCATTTCAAAACAACTTTGCTACCATTTGGAGTTTTAGTATCACACTCAGAACATTAGTATTTGTATGCATGGCACTTGAAATACAATATCCAACCTAATATTGCACCTAAGTAGACCAATTCCAATTCAGTATTTTGCACAGCTCTTCTTATTTCATACTTTTCCAGACTATTTGTCCATTTTTGGACCAAATGTTATATCAGTTTATCACCCTCTAGTGGCCCAGCATTGGAACTTCACTGTATTTAGAAGCTTCTGCCTGCCTCAGTCTGATCGGTGATTCCTTTTTGTTGTTGTTGAAGAAAGCAAATCTTTAGCAGTGCAACAAAGACTTCAACAAACATTTTCACTTTATTTTCAATATAAATATGTACAATTTCAAAACTGAGATGTCTTTTGGATTTTGCAGATGCTTTACATCCATTTTTTTTGTTGTTGTTGTAATTTTCTCTTCAAAGTGATGGGGACGTGCAGCTATTTCAAATTATTCTTAGATCTTTTTCTCACCTGCCATCAAATCTGTGCTTGAGGAAGTCAAATAGGGCTTTCTGCATCATGTCTGTCACCTGCAACAGAGAGGATTTTGTCCAAGTCAGGCAACTTCTGAAGGCAAGTTGATGCACAGCAGCAAAGGGAGCTAAAAAATAAAAAAGGACTCCACACAAGTTTGTATGCGTTTAAAAAAAGAACAATATTTTTGCACTCCACTGTATAAGTTTGCACTCATACACTGACATCACATTAAAAAAGGCACATTTAAAACGGCCTGGTCAGCATTAATTTCCGCTTGTATTTGGTAGGAGAAGTGAGGAGATGCAAGGTACAAAATTCCAATTTTAGATCCCACCATAAGGAGATCCAGCTTACCTCGTAACCTTTGAGCGAGGGTCCCACCAGCACCACAGGCCTCATGGAGGGCACCACATCATACGGGGGGATGTGCTCCGTCTGTCAACACAGAGTGGCAGCAGCAGATTCGTCACAAACACTGAAAGCAGCCCAGAATAACTCCACAGAAGACGCACACAGCAGATGGTTCTAATCAGCCGAAGCCAAGGAACAGTCACACATAAAAATGGGAAATATGAGGCCATGTTGGCGCACGAAGCAAATGAAGTAATTTGCCTGAAAAACGAGACCGAAACTGATCCACTTGTAGGTGAAAACAAATGCGTGTTAGATACTTATTGATCCACAGCACAAATATTGTATTTGACCCCTGAACAGTTTTGGATCATCAAACAAACCTTAATAAAGATAAGAAGGGAGAAAAGCTACACAAATCTGCAGGACTATATGTGAAAATATAACAGTTCCTTTCAAGTCATGAATGAGCTGAATTATTATAATTCTGCAAGGAAAAGTGGGCCAGAATTCCCATGATGACGTAGACACAATGACGCCATCTTGCAGAAGCAGATATATTGGCACCAGGTATTAGCTTTTGGGGGAAATTTATGTTGTTTGGACTGTTTCCCCTTGCCTCTTTAATAAATAAATAAATTTCTCTCTAAATTCTTATCATTATATACTAAAATGTTAAGGTTAATTGAATGTCATGTTCTCTCATCTTTCCTTATAATTTACTATTTAAATGTTATTATGCATTCTTGCAATTTTACCAGAATCATGAGTAACTGAATCTGGTATTGATAATTGTGACGATTTGGCTCGGTATTCGTCGGTAAGGCTGAAGTATTGCATGAGCTTGCTGTCAGTGCTACCAGCGCCTGTCACGTTACTTTGACGCCGGCAAAAGTCGAGGAAGGATGAATGGATGAGTTCGCAGCCACCAACTTACCACTTTCTGTTTCTGCTTTCCTGTGGGAGGGGAGAGAAGACAAGGAGGAGACAATCAGTTCCTGCAACGTCTTAGAAACATTTAAACATCAGCAGGTATTTGTAACAGTTCATAAAAAAAATGAAACCTGTCAATGTCTACAATGTATAAAACAAAACAAAAAGTATATCTACAGTCCTAAGGTTATATTCACAAAGTGCAGTTCAGAGGGGGGGAGTCATAGTCTTGTCGTTGGTTAGCCCCAGTCTCAGAGCGCCTGCAGTCCTCAACTGGAGGAAGAGGAGGATCATGGGATAATGTACCAGCGACTCTATGCAGTAACCTTAAGCTCTATGTGGAGACATGGGAAGGCTTTAGATTCTTATGCTATCTATGATTTTTGAGGTTCAGGATGTTTGGCTGTAAGCTTCGCAGGTGGGTCGTTAACACCCTTCTCTCCCCCCTGTCTGATGTTCTCACCTGCTGAGGATATGAGTGGTCGGATAGAGGCTGACACCTCATCCTCCACACTGGAAGAGGAGTTTCCTCCAGACTTACTGAAAAACACAAGAAGGGATAAAAAAAAGACAGAAAAACATGGTGGCATTAATGTAAAAAAAAAAAAAGAAATTACTAATTTTTGAAGCTCAAACTCCGAATGTATATTGGTGTTCAGTGAATCATCTTAAAGCTTTTTTTTTATAACCCAAGAAATCCACTTTGAAACTACCTAAATTTTGAATTTAGTTAACTCTAGCAAACATTGTACACATGTTATTTCAATTAACAAGGAATTTAAATGTGCTTAATGCAAGAAAGACATTATCACTGCTTTTTCCTGGAGGTAGAATTATTAATATCTTATCCACCTGAAGCATTGGAAAAAAAATTTGCTTAGCCATACTGTTTTATGCCTAATCAAGTCACTTGTCATTTATCAACTTGTAGAGATGTTAACTTTGAAATCATCACTTTCTTAAGATAATCCTAAATAATTTTTTGCCAACTGTGACTCTTTTTTCCCCCCTAAATCATATTTTGGCAAAAAAAAAAAAAAAGACTTATGCCATTATTTAGATGATAATTTGAAAGTCAACATCTACAAGTTGCTAAATGATAAGTGACTTGATTAGGGCATAAAAAATATAGCTAACCTATACTTTAGCTCATCTAAAAGTGAAAGGTTTGTTCAGTAACTTGCAAAATGTCCAGTATTTAATCATTTAATCTGTCCACAGCTGACTCTGAATCAGATTCAAACTAAAACTGAAACAAACTGGTAGATGATTAAATAATTAAGCCGACCAACATAAAATGAACTCAGAAATCTGAAAGACTGAAGAACCAGATTCTGCTGGGGCCACAACACCATGCAATCCTCTGGATTATTTATATTTTGCTCAACCAAATTTCACAGATATGAATTCTCACATCTGAGTCAGCAAACATAAGAATCAAACCTTAACAAACAGCAGCAGCAGAAACTCAAAAAAGGCCACAGGAACAAACATATTGTTTACAGAAAAATTATATAGTGCAGCTTTAATTACTTTGGAGTATTTTGCATAATTGCAAAACTTGAATCATATTTCTAGTAAAGTTTAAAGCAATACCCTATGAAAAAAAGATCAATTTTCAAAATAATGCAAAAGACTTTTTTCTCTTGTTTAACTTTAATGTGAGACTTGCTTATAAGTATATGCGTCCATCACTATCTGCCTCCCTTTCAAGCAAGACGCTGAAGCGCTCCATTCCACTAAGATTACTATTACCCCGACCCGCACGGCTAGAGGATGTGAGAGTGAGTTATTGCATTAACTGCAGATGACAGAACATTCAAGAGCAATTATACACACATGGAAATGGAAAGCGGTGATAGGAGTGCTAAGTACAGCTAATTGGAACAAAGCCATGAATAGGAGAGACGACGCACAAGGGTGTGAGTCGCAGTCGGGCCGAGACCGAGGACCGCTTTAACAGAAAGGCGCTGACAAACTAAGGTGATTATTGGTTGAAAAAAATCTATTTGAAATTATTTTAAATTTGTATGTTGAACTCCATCTGTTCAGAAGCGCTATGGAGAGCAGAAACCAAAAGCATCTAGAGCTAAATAAACTATTTTTTTTTTCTTTCTGTTTAACATAATGTTAAAAAAAAAATAAAAATCACATAGCAAAACCTAAATACATAAAACAAGTCTATACATTCATTTGTGTTACTTTGTCAGTTTAATGTTTATAGACGGTGATGTGCTTAACTCAAAGTGTGGCCCCAAATCAATTTCTGCTCAGGGCCCCACGCATTTTTTGACCGGCCCTGTTGCCAAAACCATCCAGGACAAACTATTAAACTCAAACTAAGGAAAAATGGTAAGAATTAAATGGTCTGCTGTTGTTTAAAAATAACAATTTTCTTTCAATTAAATTTACAAATAAAAAATAAAATGGATTTATATTTCATGAAGACTATTCTTAAATACAATAGAATATGTTGAATGTAAATATAATTGTTTTATATTATAGTTCAGCAAATATAAAATGCCTCATAAATAGGATTTATTTCAGTTTTCTGTTACAGCGATCTGGGTAAATGAAACTCAAACTCTGAGACTTTCTAGTTTATTGCTAAATATTTTATGTAATGTTTTTTCCTCCTAATCTAAACAAAGAAACTGACAGATTGTAAATTAGAACAACACATTTTTTTCCTTGGAAATATTTTAACCTAAACATTTGGTGCTCTTCCTCCAAAAGCACCAAAGCTCCTATCACATTTTGATTTTTCAGATCAGATGTGTGACCTTTTGTGACATTGTCAGAGAGAGAGTGTCTGTGTTCTCTCTTGCCTACCCTTGGACTCGTCCTCTCTTTTGCTCCTGCTGGAGCCGGATGTTCTCGAGCTTCAGAGGGCTGGGAATGAAGCCGATCTCACAACCCTCTTTTACCAAGCGCCCGATCCACCAGTCATTGTTGAACTTCTGAACACAGCAAAGCAACTCATGAACAACACCTTTTTTCAAAATCTATATATTAGATATATTCTGTACGACCAAAGTTTCAAATGGTGTCTGGATACTTCAGGTGTTGGAATTTACAGACGTGCCTCTTTTATGTGGAGGAAGTCCTTGGCATCAAAAGAGATGGCTGTTGCTGGTACTGGAACATCCTCATCCAGGGCGCCACAGTAGCTGACATTGGTCCTTACAGCAAACGCCACAGGTTTACTCTGGAGGACAAAGACACAACTAGATTCAGTTGAAATCTTCAGTTGAAATTTCTCCATAAATGATCCAGAACAATAACAAAATAGAGCATGTCTTCTGAATATCAGCGATTTTTGTCCGAGGGTCACAACCTTGGCTCTCTCCAGTTGAACGGCAGCCTGCTGCTCCCTCTCCTGACGGCTCTGTCCCGGTCCTTGGCTCTGGCTGGGGCTCTGGCTCTGGACCTGGGCCTGCACCTCGCGCTCCTCCTCCAGAGATACATCTGAGTCTGATGGTCTGCTAGTATATGAATCAGCTGAGCCCTACAAACAGAAATTGTACAAGTTATTGAAACTATTACGGCTAGACATATTTTAGATACCTTAGACATGTATATATTTCTTGACAATGTTAAGACATTTACAAAACCTAAAATTAATTTCTTACCCAGCCTTCGGTGTCAGATCAAACTATGAAGCAAGGAAGCTAAAATTAGAGATGACTAGATTTTTTTTTTTTTTTAACACTGATGAGCATAAAAAAGCATAAAAGCATAAAATTCTTTAAATGCATCCTCACCTGTCTTGTCAATTTATAAAAGAACGTTTCTATTATAACTGACTTCCTTGTTGGACAAAACATATCCACAAGCAAAAGAGCCAGCATCTGTTTAACAAAGGGGCCAAGAATTTACTCAGTTTTACATAAGGCACATCAATAAGATCATGAATGGAGGTTTTGAGGTTTGCCGAGTGCCAAGTTTACAGCCTAATTTGGTTCAGTTACCTAAAATATGAAGTTACCATTTTTAAAAAAGATTCAAAATTATTTTACCAGTGACTGACGTACTGAAAAGGTTCTAAGAGGTTGTGCCACCCTTGGCACCTTCATGCATTTGTGATAACTGGCAACGAGTCCTTTTACTCCACTGTGGAGAAATTTCAACCCACTCTTCTTTGCAGAATTGCTTTAATTTAGCTACAGTGGAGGGTTTTAGTCAGATGAAAGTTCATTTCAAAGCCTTTAAATGATTTTGTTTTTGAGGCTGCTCGTTTGCTTTGAAAATTGTCCTGACATGTAACGTAAATGAGCTTGGGGTCAATGTCGCAAACTGATTATAGTCTAGAATTTCTTCCAGAGAGCAAAATTTATGGGTTCATTTTTCAGATCTGAAGGCAGTAAAGCAGCCTTACGACCTGACATAACTTCACACAGAATATTTTCCCAACAGTCTTGCTCACCATACATATGTTCTGTGACAAATATGTCAAGGGACTTGATGTTCTTTTTGGTCAGCTGTGGTTTTAGTTACTTTCCTCAGTCTGTCTTTACTGTTGAATAACAAACTTTGACATTAAGGCAAGAGAGGCCTGCAACGATTTAGGTGTTGTTCCTTTTGTGACCTCCTGCATGAGTCTCCGATGCCCTGTTGTAGTAATTTTGCTAGGTTACCCCTAGGAAGGTTCCCAACTAATCCATGTTTTTGCCATTTTAGAATAATGGATCTCACTTTTGTTCTCTGGAGTTTGGAAAGCTTTTCCAGTTATTTTCTTTTCTTTCTTTTATAAGAAAATAACTCTACTTTTTCATCACGCTGTATGCGGTTGCTATAACAGAAAATACAACGGCAGATCCCGTCAGTAAGAGTGAACCTTGCTGAACTCAGGACTCATTTTCTCAGTTTAGTTTGTCTTGTAGTGTCTCGCACACAGTCAGGGAATTTCTTGAGGGATGCAAGGCTTGCAGTCCCTTCATTCTGCATCCCAGTCAGAACCCCTTTATTGCCCCGTTTTAATGCCGGTACACGAATGGATCAAGTGCTTCCTTCTGCTGTTTTAATCTAAACAATCAGCCACTAATGATGATTCAATTAAGGAGGACCATTAGTCCCGAGCTGATCAATCAAGTTAGTCATCACAGCTAAGCAGGTTTTTTTTTTTTTTTAGGCCAGCAAGCAGTAGAGGAAAACCTGACTTCAGCACACTGCTTCTCTGGATTGCAAGCATTCTGTCTCAGAAAGTTTCTGGGCATTTGGAGGATTTCCATAAAAAACAACTAAACGAAATGAGGGGCTGAAAGGTTTCTGCTGGCTGTTCTTGGTTTCAGTTCTGTTAAATAGGAAGTTATAACTCAGCCCTGTCCATTTGTGTCTTTACAGTTTTGGTTATCTTAAATAAAGACCTATCTCTTCCTTTTATTGGGATTCTGAGTGGTAGAATATGTAGTAAGACCTATTTTAATTTGTAGATACAATAACAATCTGAAAAGTAAATCTTAGTCAGTGCAGTTACAGGTATGTCTATCAGCTTTGCACATTAAAATCAATATTGTTGCCCTTTTCTCTTTATAATACACTTCAGGATAATCAGATTGGATAAAAAAAAACATTTTTTGAACATCAATTGTCAAGTCTTGTCAAATTGGTCTGCACTTTAAGTAGGCCATTCAAACATGTGAATTACTTTGATCTAAGCTATTCCATTGCAGCTCTGACTGTATGATTTCATATATACCTTACTGGGCAAAGGGTTTGTTGCTCTCTTACTAGAGGGTAAACCTCTAGTACGCCCTATATTTAGCTACATAAATCTGACCAGCTTTCCCACAGCATGATGTTACCACCACCATGTTTAACAGTCCTGTGTTAATTTAGAGCACACATATAACATTTAGCTTTTTTTGGTAAAAGTTCAGTTTTGACCTCATTTTATCATAGCACCTTTGCTCACGTTTGCTGGCAAAATGGACTTCTTGTGGCGTCCGTCTTCACACTCTTCCATATGTGCTAAGGAAATGCTTTCAAGTTTGTGGATCCAATGTGACAAAATGTGAAGACCCCAATAATATTTGTTCACCCTTCTCAATCGAGGTTCTTGTGAGGCAAAGTGGCACTTTGGCATTACTCTTCAGTTCTAAGGAATGCACACAGAAGAGCTGAGGGAGCACTGTAGCATCCAAGCTATTATCCAATGGAGTAGCTTCGGCATGTGACTCATCAGCATCAGAGTCCACTTAATGACATCACGATGCATGTTTCTGCAAGACTCGTCAGAGGCAGAACACGGCGCAGCAGCTCGGCCGGATGAGAAATACTCTTCAGGAAAGTGACGGATGCAGGAATGTGACACACGATTTGTCGTCTCGGTGACGGCCCTTGGTGGGGATGGCGAGGGGGTCATTTGCATCTTTCGGTTCTCCTCTGAGAAGCAAAGCACGGTTCTTCTCTTGCATGGGAAGCGTGGTGACTCCTCCTAGTTTCCTTAGCTTTACAGTCAGATTGCAGCCACGTATTCAACCAATAAATAAGGATATATGCAGAAATCATCTAGCCATCTGCCTAATGTGCATCCCCCTCCCCTCCTTTACACACCCACCCAACCCCCTTCCAGCCAAGCATTGCCCAGGATCACACTACACTGGCTAACCCATCAAAGGCCTCTTACGTGTGTGTGTGTGTGCCATCAATAAGCAAACAGCAGGAGAGCACATAAGCAGATTTACACTCACCGCCTCCGAGTCTTCAAATCCATGCAGGTACAAATTGTCATACATGGAGGTTTGATATTCTAACGAGCTCCTCTAGAAAAATGAGGGGGGGAAAATGTGAGTGGAGGCGGAGGAGAAAGGAGGGGGCACTGGAGAAAAAAAAAAGGATGGCTGGGGAAGGGGGGGGGGATGACGACAATTCCTTCTCTCTACAGCAGAGACTAATTAAAAAATAAATATCCCCTCCTGTTGGATCACGCCTGGTCCTTTGGAGGCGCCTCTCTAAGACGGATGCAGTTTCTCCCTGGTCTCCTCGCACCGCTGCTGGCTGCCTCACGTTACAGGATGGAGACGGTATCCCTGGAGGAAGCCCGATCCTGGCATTTCATCTCTATCAGGCGTCCGCACGTACAAAACCTACACACAGAGGCAGAGAGAGCAGCAGAGGCAGCAGCAGCAGCAGCAGTAGAGGGGCTGTGAATCCTTCCTCAATATCCAAGCCTGATGACAGAATCAGAATGCAAGGAGCCGATTGGCTGGATGGTTGTCCACTCAGCCTGGATGAGCACTTTTTTTTTTTTCAGTGCAGTAAGGTAGACGGATTTGGGGAGAGGGATTACGTTTTAAAGGAGTGGAGCAGCATCCTCTTGTTCTTATTTTACCTTATATATACCAAATATGTTCAAAAATCTGAATTCTATACACAGTGGTGTAAAAAAGTATTTCTTCCTATTTCGTTTTGCTTTTTTTGCCCCATTTAAATGTTTGAGATCATCAAACAAAAGACAGCTTTCATATGTTGATTTAATTAACAAAGGATTAAAAACTATCCAAACCAGCCATACTGTTGCGATCCATGTTTTTCTGTGTAGTTATTTAGAGGTTTTCTGCGTTTAGTCCTGTCTTCCCTGTTGATTGTTCCCACCTGTGTCAAGTTCCCTGATTACCTTCCCTGTGTATTTAACCCCACCTGTTGTCTCTGTTCTTCGTCAGAGCCTTGTCGTATGTCAGCAGTCAGTTGTTGCACACAGTCGTACTGTGAAGTCCTGTGTCAACTCAGCTCTTGTTTTCAGTTGCTACTGGTATTTAGTTGTTGCTAAATTTTCTGCTGTGTTGCCTGAACTGGGCTGTTCTGAGCTACTTTTCTATTAAACCCTTCATCTTCATCTGGGTCTCCGTGTTCATTCTCACCACCACAAACCACCACTTCATGACACATACCCTGTGTGAAACAGTAAATACCCTTTAGCCTAATAACTAGCTGTGCACCAACAAGTCCAATCAAGCTTTTGTTGATAACAGGCAATAAATTTGAACATCACTGTGGAGGATATTTGGCCCACTCTTTGCAGGTTTGTTGTAATTGGAATTCATTGAACAGTTTTCCACCATGCCACAACGTCTCAATCGGATTTCAAACCAGGCTTTTGACTAAGCTACTCCTAGTCTTTCATTTAGCTTTTTTTGTTTTGTCCATTTGGTGTGCTTTGACTCATCGTCCTGCTGCATAACCGTTTCTCTTGAGCTTGAAGTCACAAACCGCTTGCCGGACCTTCTGTATCAGTACTTTCAGGCAATGATGCTGGGTTCTATCAGTTAGGACAAGTTATGGATACATTCGCATGATTTCTTCCTATACAAAGTTGATTGAGTTCACAGTTTTTTTTTTCTTGTGTGTACACCCTCATGTGTCCTCTGATATTCTCCCAAAAATACCTGTCACTTGAATTGCAGTTTAAATGAAAGATTCTGTGGACAGAAACTGTCTCTCATACAATCCAATAATCTGCCTATTAAGGAAGAATGGTGATGAAAGCCACTAGAAGTCCTATTTGCCACAAGGGGAGCAAAGCAAACATTTTCAAGAAAATCAAAGCATATTCAAAGCTATTGTACAAGTGCGTTGAAGATAGTTAAATGAATATACCCATCACACTATTGCTGATATGCATTGCTTTTCAGTGTGTATATTTATATAACACTGTACCATACACAATATGATCACCACATGTTCTTTATGTGGAAAAACCCAACATTATGTCCAACACAGCTGCCATACGAAAGAAATCTTCAAACTGGGGAAGAGATTACAGGTAGTTTGTCTTTTGTGCTGATGGAACATAGTCAAGCTGTTTGCTTCAAAATTCAAAATTAAGAAACATCACCTGACAGATAATATAAGACAAGGGAAAATGCTGAGAACTGAATTTAAACATATTCTTCCCGACTTCATTAAAAGACATCTAGCCTATAAAGGTTGATGCCCGAGGCAACAAACCTGCATCGTCTTTGAGTGATCAAGAGCATGTGATGCATGCATGTGTTACTGCTGCAACATTTGCACAGCTGCTACACAAAAATTGCATCATTGACCCAATAATATTACATAATCCCATCCAACAATATAAATGCTCGTGCTAATGGACATTTGCTCACCTCAGGATGTGAGATGCATGAAACTGAAAGTGGAACCTTTTTTCTTAGAGATTTGGCTAATGATCTGCCCAGCAGGGGGCACTCATTGAGAATTGCCATTTAATTCCCATACCCAGAGGGAATCCTTAAATATGGAAAAACCACTCACCAAGATACCGAACAGTTGGACACATTTGATCCAAATATACACACACTATTCAAGCTGGGACTGCATCAAAAATGATACACACTCCCTTACTTCCTCTAACATCCATATCCGTTGTCTGTACCCTCAGGGGAGATGCTGCCTACCTCCAGCATCAATGGGCAGTAGGCATGGTACATCCTGGACAGGTTGCCAGTCCATCACAGGGCAACACAGAGACACACAGGACAGGCAACCATGCATGCATACACACACCTAGGGGCAATTTAGAAAGACCAAGTAACATAACAGTCATAGTTTTGGACTGTGGGAGGAAGCTGGAGCACTCAGAGAACATGCAATCTCCATGCAGAAAGACCCTATATTTAAACCAAGGACCTTCTTACTGTAAGACAACAATTCTACCAGCTGTGCCATTGTGCAGCAAAAGGAAGGAAGGGAACCGTATGACAGATTTATTTCCCAGGATTCCCCTTGTGGTTCAGTACCTGTCTGAGGATGAAGCTCGTGGATGTGGTGCTTCCATCAGACCTCTTGAGCCGGCTTCTCCTGGAATAAGTCCCTCGGTTTACCTGAATGAAAAAACAAAATCGTAACCTGAATCCAGAGGTTTCCTCACCACATCTGGAGATGCTAACAAATATCCAGATAGATTACTGCATGGTGCTGTTTTCTAACTAAGTCAAATAATTGTAATGCATATAAAACCCCCAAGCAAATAAGACTTCATCCAACTTATTAATGTCTTTACCTTTGAATGTCTTTCTTTTCCTACTAAATGATCTAAATATACCAGCAGAGTTGATCTCAGGGGGACAAACTTAATTATCTGCCTGCGATTTGTCCCATTTCTCCTTTATTCTCCAGAGTTGGTGACAATGTCACCGTTAAAAAGTCTGAGCCTACTTCCCTGTATCTGTGAAACGGGGCCACTAATCTGGGTCAACATCTTTCTTTGGCTCCTCAAATAAAACAAATGAAGAATGAAGTCTGGTAATATGTTTCTATTAATATGTGCATATTACCCAAAGAGAAAACGGTTATCTAGCAAGGAATGAGGCATTTCTTTCACTTTGACAGCAAGAATCTACTAATTTTAGACATACAGAAGTAAGACACTGTTGACGTGTTTCTGCTTCATATGCTATGTATTGAAATATATAAAAACATAGAGAAACAATATATGAAAGAAGACTGATACATGTATAAACAAAGTTGAGATTCAGTTTTCTCTGCATTGGTTCTGCAGAGATAATTTTTTTAAATTAAACTAATTAATAGTTCAGTCAACGACTTTGAAATAAAGTTTGTATGTGAGACTCATTTAAGTTAAACAGTATATTGAAATACTATGTTTTAAGCCATCGATTGAATGTTGTGTATATAATTATCAGTTACAGATTCATATTATTTGTTGTAAATGTCCACGGAGATGCAAACGTAGCACCAGCAACACTGTCAAAGTTGGAATAAATTATATTGATGTTAAAAATAGTTTCCATCAAATAAGGTCTAATTTAAGATGACTCTTTGACCCTACTTTGAATCTGAAAACCCTATTTCTACAAAAGCAAAAAAAACTTAAAACCCACCTGAAAGATGGGCGCTTGGATGCCCTCGCCTATTTTGTTCCGGATGTAGATGTGTCGGGACATTTCGGCCAGAACATCGGTCCAGAGGGCGGGCTGCTCCGGCCCAGCCCAGCGCAGGGGAGGGGGGTTCCTGGCTGCGTGCTCCAGCTTCACTCTGCGTGGCAGAACATGAGCGCTCCGCGGCCGCTGCTTCCTCCACTGTCCGCCGGCAGACAGGCGCTCAGAGCCAGCTGTGCTCCACACTGGACGGGTCCACTAGAGCAACATGAGGGGAGGGGAGGACGAGTGGGACGCTCCAGATAGCTGATTTACTTCTGAAAGGAAGATATTTTCTGCTTGAAATGAGCTTTATGGTGACCACCATTATGATTTGACCTGTTTTTTTCTTGTCAAAAGGGGATCCCATAAAGTGCATAAAAGATGTAAAAGTCGTGCTTACTGGCCACTTTATGAGGTACAACTGGGAACTGTTTGAGAAATGTTGACTATGGATACCATTGAAGAACATTGCCATGCTCAGGGAACCAGTTTGAGATTATCTTAGCTTTGTGACAGGACTAGTTTAGCAAATAAATGTGTTGTTTAGTTCTTAATGTTTCTGACAAGTTTAATTAAAATGCACCAGCAGCCTGAGCTGTTGCTACAAAGCAGGATACATTTTTGCTTTCATGTTTATGCTTACATAAACATGATTACATTTAAATGTTTACATGTAAGATTAGATCTTTAATGTAGTGACAAAAACACATGTCTACATCTTGTTCTGATTGAAGCCCCAAAATCAGGATGTTTTTCACCCCCTTTTCTTTGCAACCAATAATTGCATTTCCATGATTTATATGTTGATCAAAGTAAGGAATTGTCACTGTTAAGAAAATATTGATAAAACAGATTCCTTCCCTTGTAGTGTATAATTTTTTGTATGTTATGTTGACGTTTTTCAATGATGATAACTTGCTACAGTCATCCCTTGACTGAGGGAGTGTTGTTTCTTATTTTGTCCAGCAGATGGCAGTATTATCAAAATAAACGCAGCTGCAGACATGCTCTGTATACTCAGTGTGCAGGCTGGGTGATGATTTTACAGAAAAAATAACGTGTCTTCTTCGCACACAGATTGACATGTGTTATATACTTTATGCACTGATAAATTTCAACCATGCTTTAAATCCTAGTAATCCTAATAATTGTTAGTTGCGGTCATGGTTATTAGCATGGGTAATTGTAGTAATTGTAGCATCATCCATTGTTCATTGTTAATTCTTTTTGGACGATTTAAAGCAGATGTATAATTACTAATAATACTGCTTTCTATGTCCGTAAAGTCAGGTCATTATAATATGACTTGATTTTCATGGCAACTGAACTCAAATTCTCCCCTGTTAGGTGGTGGGTCCATCTAGAGGTCACTTCCTGTACCGTTGTATTTTCGTCCAAGGAGCCAATCACCAGATGACCACTGGCAAGATCCCCATCAAAGACAAGCCAGGCAAGGTACGCCAATACAGCCATGTACATTCTTCACACAACAGAAAAATTTATTGTAATACTCAATTTACACATACATTATTTATGCTTTAAAACATGCAATAATTTGGGTACCAACAGAAGAGATTAACTAAGTGTTTTGTCCCTGTTATAATACTTTCAGTACAATTTACTTTGTGTGCTAATAGTGTTGGCAATAGAGTAGAAACAGACTTTACCAGTATATATATATACAATAAGAGGCAGTTTGCATTTTGGAAATGCTTCACATTTGTCAACAAACTTCTTTATTCCATAGAAACAACACTTGAGTTGTTATAAGTACTTTAATAATGTATTGTACGTGAACAGTAGGATTGTTGGTGCATTGAGATTTTGAGGAGACTCTCGGGTTTACCCAGAACATCTCGACTGGGACCATTTTCCTCCTGGCCTTTTGAACTCCTTTGTACAGGGAGAGGGATGTTTGTACTTTCCTCATGGACTTGTGATCTCTGCAATCCGAGTATTAGATGAGTGGACAAAGGATATATTGACAGATGTATTATGTTATTTTCATCTTTCAGGATGACGGTGTTAGGACAGTGTTGTAGGCTTCATGCTATAGGAAAAAGTTGGTCAAAATTTGGACTTGATCTTTAACTAAAAAAAAAGAAATATTTTTGTGTCCTTTATCTAAATCAAAATGAGCAAAAAATTTTGTTCTTTTGTTGTTGTTTCTGTGCCATGTTTATATTACTGTGTATGTCTAAATCACAACTAAACTAGACCTTAAAACTTTAGAAAGTCCAGCAGGAAGCCCCTTCCATTACTCAAACGTCTAAATTTTTGAGTGGCACTTATCTCCAGTTGCTATTTCGGTAAAGTACCTTGCTGCATACACTCACCTGAGCAAAACTGCAGTCACATATCACAGGTTTCAAACTGTGTGTTCACTTTGCTTTAAATAGCTACCTCTGTTTTCATGAAGGACCACATAGAAACTCCTCTGTTACTCAACATTGCACGAATCCATTTAGGAAGACCCAAAGATGTAAACACGCTGGTCCAGTGGCACAGATAACAAAACTAAGTGCAAACTTTATTTTTGGCTTGTACTGGTGAAGCATGTGATGTACGGTGTCCCAGCAGCAACACGTGTTATGTTAGCAGCTGGGCACCTCATATCATCCACTGAACAAGTGAAAAGGAGCCAATTTATCTCTCAGACTTATGTCAGCACATGTTCGGTCTCGCTTTGATCAAACTAATCTAACTAATGCGTATTGTGGATTATGCAACTTAAAACTGGAAGGATTAAGTTGCTCTTTTTGGAGCAGGTCAGAAAGAGCAACTTAGTCCAATAATTAGGTCTTACTGACCTAATTTATTGCTGGCATAAATAATGATGGATAAAAACTTGTTTTGTATTGAAACTGTTGAATTGTTTGGTTTGTGTTACCGTAAGTTTAGGAATGATTAAGTAAGTAAAGATGTTCATGCTATTGCAAACAAACAATAAATGAAACTACCTTATATACTCCCTTCTCCAGTAAGAAACGTGCATAAATATATAAATTAATAGGTGTACATACGTTTGTCTATTTTGGCAAGCTGGTGGATTTGCAGGCATTTTAAATTGTCAGACAATAGTGTCACTGCTTGGTGGACTGTGAGCTGTAAACTCTGCAGAGCTGTCTGTTTGAAGCAATATGTGGGAATTGTTTGGGGAGGAAGGGATAGATAGATATAACTGTACAAAAAATGTGGCGTAATCTGACCACTGCTATCCATGGAGTTATTGAAACGATCTAAAAGTTGCATTGAAGTGATGGCCAGGCCCAGGAAGAGTTCATTTAACAAAGTTGTCTGGTAAATTTTGAGCCTACCAAGTGTTGGTCTTTAGGCGGGAACCGGTTGGTACCATCATGATTAAATGGCTGAACTGTCAGTGAAATACAAACAGGATTAAAATGGGTGTAGTGACCATGAAGACTTTTGACAAGAATTTCCCCAGGTTTTTTTTTTCCGCTTCCACGACTCTGAAACTTTTGTTCTCAGTTCCAGTGGGAACTGAAAACATTATAGAGAAACATACAAAGTCTAGAGATATGATTTTTCCTTTAAAGAGATTTTTAAGGGATCATGATAAAGCAGTTTTCTCTATGGCCTACACAGTATTTCCTAGACAGCATCCTCTAGGTGTTTTTTCATCTGACTTAAACAGTCATGCCACTAATTCAAAGCTATTTCCTAATCATCTTCTGCAGAAAGTATTCTCGTTCACGGCGTCCATTGTGTGTATGTTCACGTTCCTCATGTTTGGATAAAGCCTTCAAGAGGAATCCACTCAATAGTCCTTTTATAATTCATCACTTCAGCACTTCTTACCTGCTCCTGTAAAACATAGCAACACAGTCAATATGCAGCACAAGACAAAAAACAACAAACTAAACCTCCATGTCTACCTGCGTTTCTCGTCTCTTACATGCAGCATTAAATATTTAAGACATCAGCTTACGGAAAAGAAGGAAGATGGATCTCTAAATTTGAGCAGTTTGTTTCTTTTATGTTCATCCACACATTTCTTACTTTTGACCTTTGGAAATATTGTCCAGTTTTACTTGGTGATACCAATGATATAGCTGTTTTAAAAGCCTTATAGCGTTATTGCTGTATCAGTGGCTGTTTTTGAAATGGGCCATTATTGGCAGTTGCCCAGGGTGGCATTAGAAGGGGGAGAACACAAAATACCACCTGTTAGTCTAAGAGATATCACAGTTTTCTGAATCTCACAAATAATACAAAATACTGGCATCATGATTCATTTATTCACCTGGATTTTTTCTTTTTCACAGTATACATAATACAAAAATATAGAGTACCAGAGTACCAAAAGTTTACAGTGTCCAAAACAGGCAGTGTTCAGTCAAATTCACATCAAGCAAGTTTTTTAGAGCAAGAAAATTACTTTGAGGGCTCTTTGAGCAAAGTTTGAGGAGGATACTGAATTAAGTGTTCAACAGATCTCTATCGAAATTAGGCATTTTCTGCTTCTTATCTCAGCACCTGCAAAAGTATTCACTCCTCTTGAACCTTTTTCACATTTATGAGGTTGTAACCACAAACTCCAGTTTACATGAAAGACCAATACAAAGTAGTGTTCACTTGTATTGGTCTTGGGAAGAGCTCCATTCTGAAACATGGTAGAGGCAGCATCATGCTGTGGTTATACTTTTCTTCTGGAGAAAGTACTACGGGATGAAAACTTTTGCAAGGCTCTATATCTGAGAGGGTGTCTCATTATAGTCAGATTTGTGATTTAGACATACACAGTAATATAAACATGGCACAGAAACAACAACAAAAGAACAAAATTTTTTGCTCATTTTGATTTAGATAAAGGACACAAAAATATTTCTTTTTTTTAGTTAAGGTCAGGTATAGTACAAATAGGTGTTTTGCTACATCAGCAAGAAGTGAACCAAATTTGTCACCAACTTAAAAAGGTACAATTCCTTTTGCTATTTTAAAATATCATATAATTTCTAACATATTCAGAAAAGATATCCGTCAAAGAAACATTGTAATTTGGCACCAGATACCGAGAAAAATGTGTAATTTCAGCTAAAAGTGCAAAAATGTCCAGTTTGAATATCTCTGGTTTTATTAATGACATCTGTGCTTAATGAGTGCCAACGCAGAAATCCTAGGATAAATTCATACTTTAGAAAAATTATATGATAATTGAATGTTACAACCTTAAGTAAGGCACAGTGCACTGAAACCATTTTTACCTCCTTTCAAATGTCTTCTGTATATACTTTAAACCTTCCAGCACTTTAATCTTTTGTGGTAAATCTGCTACTAATGCCTGTTGATGCATATTCTCAACATACCAAGGTAACATACCAATTAAATCTAGAATGCTATTTGTAGCTCTACTGTATTACTTTTCTCATGCTGTAATTTTGGCCTTACTGTACCATCTCTGTTTTTATATTTACATATTTTTTTAACTTTAGTCTGAATATGCATGGATCTATTTACCTTTAATTTGCTGGTGGTACTCCTCAATTTATTTGGGAAATTAAAGGATTTTTCTATTATATTATATTCTGTTTGATATAAAGTTTGAGTGGTCAGTATACTTAGCAAATAATTTACTTAATTTGCTAATTAATCACTTGAAAATGGCCTAAATTCTTTTGTCTTTTCTCTAAAAAACAACAACGAAATTAAGCATTAAAATAAGTTTCACTAAAAAAGCAAAAAAAGAGAAAATCTGAATGGGGGCAAATACTTTTTCAGAACACTGTATACAAAGGATGTAAAACTTTTGTTTAAATTAACATCTGTTTGTGTTTGTTTCTCATGAATCAAACAATGAATGAGCTCTAAGAAATAGCTTCAAATGTTTGAACATTATGCCCAAAAACCTATTAAAAGGCAGCACATAAAAACAATATTTACACACGATAGATTAACTGGATTGCTTTTTTTTATTTATGACTTGATTATATTGATTTGTATCTACTCAGTTTGAGAAACAAAAGCTGAATTGTTTGTAATTTAAGAAAATGTGTGAAAATGTGTGATTCATATATATATATATATATATATATAAAAATCTTGAATGTGTCTGAATTTTACTGTATCATCAAAAGATATTTCTCAGAACCACAGATGGGGAAACTTCCTTAACCAAATAAATATTCTATATACAGTACAGTTTCATTCAGAAGTTTATATATACATTTACTGTAATAAATGTCAATAACTTGGGGTTTATGCGGATTTATTTGACCTGTTGTTTTGCAAATAAGTATAAAACCTTCAACTGCAACAGTATTTAAAATCTTTTCAATTTACTACAGATTTTACCATTAACATTTGGTCTCCTTTAGCAAGCTGCAGACAAACTGCTTTTGCTTGTGTATAAATTTAAGCCTGTAAGTTTGATTCTGTGTGGATTAAAAACACAATAAATTCAAACCTTATTAAGGATATTTGTTGCGTAACCCCTCTATTCTGGAAGGACATGTTAAATCCATTTTTTAAAACCTTGAATCAAAGAAGTATGTAAACTTCTGACCAGAATTGGAAATACCTCAGATGTAACTTGGTTGAATTTTATGTTCACATCCCCGAATATTCAACCACTGAACACCTGGGAGATAATTTATACATTCTGCTGATATAAACAACATTTAAGTTTTCCATTTCGTCGTCTTTTCATTGTAGTTTTGACACAAAAATTAAAGCAAGTGAGCCACAGATCCGCACGTCAAAGCAGAAATCCATTCAGAGCGCATGTCTGTTACCATGTGTTATACCTTGTGAACCAGTCTGTAGCTCAGCAGGGTGTAAGAAATCCTTATGGTTCTTACTACGATGTAGTCAGTCCCCTCGTGTTGGAGAGTTGAAACCTCTCTGTCACTCCGACAGAACATCAGTGCAGAACGTCAGGAGCCATTTTTAGATTTCAGAGAGTTCATAAAACAACACATCCCGCTTGAAGAGTTCAAGGCTGCAACATTTTCTGTTTTGATTCCCGTGAGCCTTTGGCAGTGACGTCTGGGTGGCTCATGGGTCAGCCTGACCAAAGGCAGCTCTTTGTTTATGATTGACATGGTGTCTGAGATCTGTAGAAGGTCTTCTTCTTCTTCTTCTTTCTGTGGGTGCATCTCTACGAATTTGGATATCAAAACGTTTGCTTCAGGAATTCCATTCAAAAAGTGAAACTCATATTTTATGTAGACTTAAACATTTCTGTATATTTTTTTTTAAAATACATAAATGTCACCCAACTGAGAAGTATTCCCACATACTATTTGGTCAGGGCTCCTTTTGCATGAATTACAACATCAGTGCAGTTTAAACTGCTGAGGTGTCCAGGAAGCCCAGACTGCTTTAATAGAACTCACAATGTTCTCATGACTGCCATTTATTATGCCTTTTTTTTAATTGAACATTTTCCTTCCACTCAACTTTCCAATAATATGTGGTGAAATATGTAGCAAATAGGCAGCCAGATTTCCCTTGTTTCATATCCTTATGAAATAACTGTTTTTATTGGTCTTGCGTAACAATCAAGTTTTCCGAAACTTTTAGGTGTTCATTACATCCAGTATTATCAAATTTAAAAGAAATAAATATTACTGTCTCAGTGGTGCCTCAAGATATCCACTTTTTGAATTGAATTTCTGAAATAAACAACATTTATTTTCAATGATGTTCTTTATAATTCATAACAGTAGATTTTAACTGAAACCTTTTTGGATGTTTGTCCTTAATTAGGACATTTCTGGTGATTGGGGTGAAACTGCACCTTGAATAAAAAAATAAAAAAAATCCAATGGCCAGGAAAATGTTTTTAGCTTTCAGGAAGTTTTTCCGGTTGCATTGGCATGGAAACGGCTCCTCTCAGCTGTGCATGTAGGACCTGCAGGGCGAGTCGGGGTGGAAGTCGTACTTGCTCACACAGGGAGGGTAGTAGGTGGCGGTGAACATGTTGCTGGACGCCATCGGGGAGGAGAAGTGGTTGCACGACTCGTCGTTCACATGGAGGTTGTTCTTGTTTAGCGTCTGCAGTATAAAGAGAGCGTTTAAAAAACATTCCCTAAATGAACATATAGGATACATAACACATTAAGACTTAATCTAAAGAAATTCAAGAACAGTAATAGACATTTGTCGGACACAAAAAGTGACAAAAGCTCCAAAGCAGAATGAATCTGTGAGTGGGGGGGAAATCCTAATCGCATCACAGCAGCAGGCCCACCTTGAACTCCATGGGGATGTACTTCTCGTTCTTTGGCGCGACATTGCCCTGCTTGTTATACGTCAGGTGGTTGGGTGTGCTGGGGTGGATGGCGGCGGACTCTGCCGACGGCTGGTTCAGGTGGTGGCAGTACGAGTACGCCAACCCCGAGAGGAGAGCTGCAGCAAAGAAGCTGGCTAGGCCCACTGCCACCAACTGGAACAAGGTGAAAGCTGGAAACGAAACGTGTAGCCCAGTGCGGGTGAAATCTCATGTTTCGTTTCAAAGCTATTTAGATAATATATAGATTAGGATGTGTAAAAATGTGGAATGACACAAGAAATAAGTACAGAAGACATGGAAGCAAAGAAGTTGCCGAAATGTATGGAAGGTTAAGAAAATTAATTAAATCTGATTGTATTTAAATACAGAAAGCAACTCTTTTCTACTAAGTATAAAAGAAATATCAGTGAGCCTGTTCACTTCTTATTTCCTATCTCATTTCATTTTATCACATAGAATTTTTTTTTTGTTTTTTTTTTGTTTTTTTTTTATACAGGCATCTCTTTCAAATTATATGTCAAATATTAAGAAATACGTGACCTTAGAAAAAACAGAGCATTAAAAACAACCAACTTGCCTCCACAGCTCTGGTTCTCCTGCCCAGGTAAAATCACTGAAAACAGACAGAGTTAAAGCAAGAAACACTTTGAAACACATTGATTGGGTTTCTGCAGAAATGTGTGCCCTCTTTCTAAAGCAGTGTCCTGATAGAAACACCTGCATACCTGGGACCTCATGTGGCTGACATGGCCTGGACTGAGTCAGGTTTCCCTGGCAGAGGCCGGCCTCAGCCTCCTGCTCCTCCCCACAGCGCCGGCTGCGATGCTGCACACCCTCGTCGTCACACTCGCCCCAGTCCGTCCATTCACCCCAACCTGCAACGCAGAGTTTTGAAACAATAAAAATCCTCCTTTTATTTTGCACAAAATACAGTGCTAGATCTGTTTTTCCCCTCTCTGTGTTTGTCCAGGCTCACACACCCAAATTATTTTCCTTCTCACTGCAAATATTGATCTGTTAGTGGTGAATTTCCCAGCAGTGTTCATTATATCCTTTGATGACATGCTGAAAAATGTGAAAAACCTTAGGTAATTTAAGGTCATATTAATTCCTCAATGGCAGTTCCAGTTTTAATTGAATGAAAAGATAAATGGAGGTACTTATAGGGAAGAACTAATGTGCAAATAATTTTAAGAAATAATAAACTGACAAAACAAAGATGATAAATTACTTGCTTTTATTTGACCTGGCAATGCAGATGAATTTTATGAATTTTATATGTGCAGCTTCACTGAGGAACCTAATCAATTTGAAAGAAATTAATTTGCTAAAGTTTTTTAAAGGATTCACAGCCTTTCAGTTGACTTATATCCCTTCATCGTTTTCACATTCTGACATGTAAAAACAAACTTCAGTGCATCTTATCTGAAAAGTGTGGCGTGCATTTGTTTTCAACCTCTTTGATTCAGTATGTTGTCGAACCACGTTCGTCTTGAATTCCGGCTGCAGGATCATTGAGGTACATCTTTTGCGTTGCGTATGCAGCGGATACCTTCACAGGGGTGTATGTTACAGAGGGCCTCCTCTGTGTGCAGGCCGATGCAGATGTCCCCTCCGTTTGCAGGGGCCGGGCTGCTGCACGTCCGAGTTCGCTGGTAGTGGCCCCCTCCACAGCTGGATGAACACTGGGTCCAGGCAGACCAGCATGACCAGGCTCCACTCACTGCAAAGCATGCGTATGGAAAAGTGGGGTAACAGCTATCGATCATTTTAGGAATCGAATATTCCGTCGATTAATCGGATAAAGAAAATTCTGCAGATTTCTCATTCAACCGCTTTGCCTTTTTTCATATAATATTTAAAAACACTTTCTGTTGTTAAAAAAGAAAGTAAACATTTTATTGCCTAAAATTCAATAATATAGCATTTCTTTAGTGAATTTGAACTTGAGGCATTTTGGCTAAAACATATAGTAAACTAGTGAACAGTGACTGAACTGCGGTGTTACCTGGGCAGGGGTGAGCGTTACAGTCCTGATACTCCACTGGAGATCCAGCACAAGCCGCCAGGTTGGCCCTTCCTTCTGACGTGGAGCAGCTGCGTTTTCTGGTCCGGAAACCTCTGGAACACTGCTGGGAGCAGCTGGACCACATTTCCCATGGTCCCCATCGGGCACCTTGGGGCTGGGACGTAGTTCTGCCACTAGTCCGGACCAGCTCTTCAACCAGAGCTGCAAATCCGGGGAAAGTACTTTTACTTTCATTCAATTGAATTCCTGAGCTCTAAATGCAACAAAACAAGTTCAATTCTGGTTATGAGCAGCGTCCAAACATCATAGGAGTTCAGAAAATTGAAATGGTCCATGAGTTCAAATAAAGGGCCAGTGTTTTCCCTGGCAGACTCGGCAGACAGAGTGTTATGAAACATTAATTAATGAGGTGCAATATGGGTCAAACTGAAAGCACGAACAGACACCCACAATTGCAAATTATTTACATATGAATCCAAAGCCTTCAGGGTTTCAAATTTGAATTCACTTCTTTATTGCAGCCAAAGTAAAAACAACAACAACAAAAAAACGGATTAGGCAATGTAAAAATGAAGAAAGAAAAGGAAATAAAGAAAAAGGGAAAAGTCTCGATATACAAATATGTCTTCATAATTGATCTATTTCTACACTTTTCCAGACCTGGAAAAGTGTAGAAATAAAGGACTGTGACCTAACAATCAGGACGAAATGTGCTTTTACTGCTTCATCAGCATCGTTGTGCCGTCTTGTCCGGTACTCACAGTCAGTCTGGCAAGCTCCGGAGCCGTCATGTGGGCAGAAGCGGGTCTCCAGCTTCTTCTTGCCCAGCTGGAGCTGCTGGAGGTCGTGAAGTGGCGCCCGGCAGGTGTACCTGAATCTCTGCTCCTGGCGGGACCCGTCGTGGCTGACGTTGACCGGCATCCATGGTGTCCAGGGGGTGTTGCGGCGCACCTCAGGGCAGCTCTCCAGGTTGCAGACTTTGTACTCCTGGAAATCGGTATAAAGGAATCTCAGAAGTATTTAGTTACACTTCACACGCCCCACACAAAGCTAACATAAAAGAAACAGCATTTTTCAAAAGATTTTTTTTAAGTATTTATAGATTTTCTACAGATTTCTTCTCACAAACTTTTGATTTTATTCAAAGCACGCATGTACCATTGCACATCCAGGGCAGGTGTTCCCATTCTCACAGGTTCTAGTCCTGGACTGGACCCCTCCGCCGCATTCGGCGCTGCAGTGAGCCCAGGGACCCCAGGCTGTCCACAACACAGGCAGGGGACACAGCTTTTTCTCATTGCACAGTCTGCAAAAAAAAAATAAAAAAATCACAAAAACGTGCCGTGTCTTCACTGTCAGTGCTGACACGTTTGTAGCAGCCGCAGCAGGGCGTGTTCCTCACCTCTCCTCCCGACCCTGACCGACGCATATTCGACCCCCGTGGCGTGGCGAGGGGTTGTTGCAAGACCGCTGCCTCACTTCAAATCCGATGCCACAGCTGCTGCTACATTGACCCCAGGAAGACCATGGAGTCCAGCCACCATTTCTAGGTGAAGATTGGGTTAATGTAAGTATTTTCGGATTTATTGGAGTTGATCTTGTGGGCTATCTTGGTTAAATCCTGAGGTTGTTTTAATGGATATTTAGAAATTGTTGTTGAAGTCCAAAAAAATCTCCATGAAAATCAACTTTACCTGGAGCAGTTCGCCACTTGGATGGTTGGACCTTTGCATTTGACCCCTCCACATCTGGCCACCGGGCCATCACACGAGCGGGACCGACACTTGCAGCTGCTGAAAGTGCCCTCGCCATCGTCATGGTTACAAGGCTGCCACAGTGCCCAGGGACCGAACCCACCGTCTTGCGTCAGGTTCCTCATCTCCAAGGGAGTCACATGAGCCTTAGTCACTATCATCCAGGAATGTACAGGGTTACTGTAATATCTAGAACTTGTTCTTACTGGGCATTCGGTGATGTTTTGGATCCAATGGTTCATGTTGGAGCTTCCTTCAATGGTGGTGCAGAGTTTCTGCTCTAGATCCCATCCACAGTAAGGGTCCCGAGCCTCCAAGCAGCTCCTAATGCGGAAGGAAGCCTTGTCTTTGTTTTGTGGTTTGCAGAAGCATTCTCTTTAAATCTGAGAACTTAAGCGATTAAATTCTGGTGTAAATTGATATCTCAGTACACCATTACACAATGCAGATAGTCCTACAATGGATTTGTTTAGCTCAAAGCATGTTGATGAAGGTGGTCTAGCCCCAAATCTAATTGAAATTTCATTGTCAGTCAGTTTGCAGATGTCTTCAGCTGGTAACACTTTTCCAAGATACTCTACAACCTGGTAAAGCAGATTCTCATTCAGAAGGCAGGTGGTCAGTGTAACGAGTAACTAAGTTCTAAAACTAGCATATTTTAAATTTATTTTCTTAACATCAGCTTTGTACCGTTCGGCTGGATAACTTGAGCAGCGTTCTAACGGGATCTTCACCAGTCTGTCATCGAGTCCCACAAACAGCGACCTGTCCTTCTGTAGGATTTTCAGACTCTTTATTGTTCCCCTCTGCCCCTCTGGGAGGATCCGGAGCTCTTCAAGGTAGCAGCCATGAAGGCTTTTGTTGGTTGTGGCCAGAACCTTCAGGATGCTGCCATACTCTGATTGGATGAGGCCACATCAAATTTAAAGTGAGAAATCTAGAGAATTATCACATATTTTACTGAGGAATAAATCTCCCTTTGTCACCTGTGCCAATATACATGACGTGGTAGAGAGTGCTCTGGCCTTGCACAATGTCCACCACCAGCTTGGAGAAGCGGACATTGTCCTGGGTGAGAAAGGGGTCGGTGGTGATCGGCTGGACGACGTCGCTCATGAGGAAGAGCCGCTGTGCGTCCTGAAGACTACGCTCCGTTAGGTTCCCGCCGGGGCCGTCTTCCTCCAGTGTGCCGCACTGAAGACCAGTAATATGCAAACAGGTCAAAGAACACTTTCTCCTTCCACTCAACCTTACCATTTGTAAAGTTAAGTCTTATTATATTTCGCTCCATGTGTAATGAGTCTATATAATATTTGATCTTCCCTTTCTGGAATGAATATTGAACTTTTTCAGAATATTAACATTTTTGAGCTGTACTTGTAAATACAAGAGTTCATCATGAATTCACAACAAACATTTCCGCAAAGGTGTGTATAAAACTAAAGACCAAAGAGATGTCTTTTTTTTCCTCTTCTGTAAAAGATGATGTTGCTATCTGTTTTTTAAGACTTTGGGAAACTGTTACATTTCTATTTTTTCTGAAATATTTTACTTTTATGATTTACTGCTTTGATAATTTCAACAATTATGAAATACCAGCGAAGGTAAAGCTGTTTGTCTGACCATTGACCATTGTTTTAGTTGCTCCTAGCTGAGGCTTTGTATGTACAAGCTAACTGGTTGTGATTGGTTGTTTTCTGTGACTGGTTGAATATGTCACTTTCAGAAACACTCACTGTTTTCTTTAACTGTACACCAAAAAAAGTCAGCAGTTTTATCCCTGTAATCCCATGCTTATCACAAGTAATCTATGTTTTTTGTCCATGAGCTGAGTGTATGTGTTGCTTTTTAGTCAAACATATTCATGAGGATTCAGGTATTAACATGTGGACAAAATGACAGGAATTCCTACAATTGTTTACGAGGAATAATTAGTTTAGTAGGAATAAGGAGGATGAAGCAAACAGACATTTGGATTCAACATGAAATAGATTATCTTTGGCTTTGTGGATTATACCTGGAAATTGGGAATAGGGTTTGGAGTAGAGAGCCAGGCAGTGCGGGGGTTCTCCTGGAAGCGAAAGGGTCCATTGAAAGCCAAAGTGATGGAGCTCAGATTGAAGGCACAAACAGCAGAAGCTGATATGCTGTTCCTAAAGGAAACAGGGAAGTGTTAATTATGGTCTTATCTGAGCAGCTTGACAAGAAAGAGAAGGTAAAGAGTCAAGATGTGAGTCCAAAATTCACAGACTCAAAGTAAAACATGTAGAAAAAAAAAAAAAAGAATAATCCTCACACATTTGTGGTAAAGATGCCATAAATGATGTCTTGCTCCGGCAAGTGGAAGGTGCTCTGCAGCTCGTTGAAGTAGAAGGGGATTTCACCTGAGCGTGAGCAGTTCAGGCGAGCCTTCATGAAGGTGGTCCAGGTGTCTTCCAGCAAGAAGCGTCCCCCAACGTCGTTCTTACAGACCCGCGCCACCCGAGAGAACACCATCTTCCCACAGTCGTTTTCCACGGCAGTCTCTCTCAGGAAGAAGTAGGCAAACCGGCCGATTTCGTAGGCCGACACGAAATGAGGCTCTGGTAAAAAATCAAACAACAAAAAAAAAAACGAACAAAGCTGGTAAATGAACAAGAGTCATCTAGTTGCAGCTTGATAGAGAGTATTGTCAAATGCATGTGGTTCTGTTCTAACCATTGAGCCATTTGGAGTTGTACTGGGCGGTCCGAAGGGGTGGCATGTTTCCCAGGCTTCTGTAGATGACCGGGTCGCGTCCGGAGAAATCGATCACCGTGGCGGCGTACAGTTCCCCGCTGTGCGTCACCATGGCAGTGGAGTTGTGGCGGGGGTCATAGGGACAGCGGGCGACACCGTTCACCGTGTCCAAAACTTGACTGATGTTGGAAATCTAACAGAATGGAATAAATATTTCTATAAATATACAAACAAAAATATACAAACAAAAAAAAAAAAACCTAGATATCAAATGAAATATGGGAAACTGTTCAGAAAAGGCCGTGAGTACCAACCTGCCTAGATACACAGACGGGTGTGAAAGCATTTGTTCCACATGTGAAGAGCATTCTCCCATTGGTAAGCAAAACCCGGATGTAGTTTTGACATTCGTCCTGCATGTCATAGGAGAGTAAAAAGTTTGTAATGTTTGAGTTTCTTTGAATGAAAATGATCGACTTGGCCAGATTTTGTAACATATCACCTCAGATTTCCCCTTGCTTTGACACGAGCGCTTTGTGTCTTCATCAGGAGACCATTCGGTTGCCTGAGTAAAAAAAAAAAAAACAGACAATTTTGAGTATGTGTATTATAAGTGCTGGCTGCAGTGTATGGAGCAGTTTTAGCAGTTAAGATTTTAAATATTCAATAGCACGACTATGAATGATGGGTGGACAGTAGAGCAGGCAAGCCTTAATTAGAGGCTTTTTTAAATTTTAAAAGTGAATTCATGTACAAAAAATCCATGTTGGAATTTCTTTCTCAGATTTTCTATGAGTTTCTATAGTCTTTTCTGTCCTAATGTAGATCCTCATCTTAACCCAGAGATTTCTAAATTTGGTATATCCCATGGAATAAAACCTAAAAGGTTAAAACAGAGGAATTATTCTGCACCTCCAGCTTACCTGTATGAGGGAGGTGTTGCTTAAACTCAGCCGGAAGAGGAAGTTTCTGGAAAATGAAACTTCTGATTAGAAAACAGCTTGCAAACAGTGGGGAAGCTGTGTAACGGTTGTACTGACCGTGCCCCTACGATGAGCTGGTTCCTGCTCATATCCATGGCCAGCTGGGAGAAATCCTTCACTCCTGGATAGGAGAACTCAAACATCCTCTTCCTCAAATCTGGAAATCGGAAGACATATCTCAGATGTAAAGACTGACATGTTTAAGTAAAAAGAAATATATCAAAATATAAAATAATTGAAAGGAGTTTTGGGGGATTTTTTTTTTTTCAGGAGAGAAAGATTATCCAATTTGATTCTCAGTTTCCCTTTATTCCAAAAATAAAAACAGCCCCTTATTATCATTTATTAAACTCAACTCTTGATTTCTGTGAAAGCTTTTTATGAGATCGTGTCCATCAGTTGCGGAACTGCTCTGATAGAGTTTCCAGTTTTCAGGAGAGTTGATCGCATAATGCTTTAGTGAACTTGGCTGCGAAGCAACCAAATGCGGAGTCCAAGCACACGCTCGCATTCACAACACTAATCCTGCAGCTCAGACAGGAAAGTCATTTGTTTTCCAGACACAGACTTGGTCTAAGTCCTCGGACTTTGACCTCTGCGGTGCCAAGACATGCGAGACATTCAGATTGTGCTGCTTTAACGCATATGCATCAATGCCTTGCAGAAAAGCGCACAATGCATTTCGTCAGCTAATCTAAGCTTGAGGACTTTTAATGAGTAAATGGAAGAACTTGCCTTGATAGGAAACAATGGGATGCTCCTTCCTGCTGCAATCTGCAAGACTGACGTTCTGGCGCTGGGACAGACTCACAGACCAACCAATGACCAGCATGAGTCCACAAGGGGAGAGGGTCCATGCCCTCCACCCTGTCGTTACCATAGTTACAACCACATTCAGTCCCAATTCAGGTCTGCAAGAATCACCTGCCAAAGATGAAAATGAAGAATTAAAACTAAAATGTAGATGGTAAAATAATAAAAAAAAAAAACATCTATCATGAAGCAGCTTACAGGATTTTTTTTCTGCTCCATTCGGCATTCGTCTAAATCAGCCCTGAGTCCCCATGCTGCCTCTGTTTGTCTGCTCCGACAGCCCGGCCTCTCACTGTCAGCAGGACACAGTCACGGCCAATTCACCTCAAAAGGGCCAGAACCGCCAATCTCTTTAAAGCCGCCTCTAAAAACCGAAGGTGCCATTTCTGACTGAGGGCCTCCTCTGAAAGATTCGTCTGGGCTCACAGCCAAACAGGGGGCGTGAACTCTTATCAAAATCCATTTATGCGCATCAAATCTGCTCACTGATGATGACTTAAGGCTCACAAGGGGACTGGTTTGTATCAGTCGTGCCTGTTGGGGCCGACAAACAGCTTTAGGAGTTTTAAAGCTGCGGTAAACCGGCGAGGCCGAATATTTTACATGGATGTTTGCTTGTGTGCTTCTGGAAGAATAGTTTAGGATGCAGAAGTTTATCCAAAGAAATCATAACATCTATGTAGATGTGTAGACATGATAGAAATTTCTGAAGAAAGTGCACATCTTCAACAAACAGAAATTGTAATGGCTCTAAATTGCATCATTTCACATGTAAAGTACAAATAAAGCTGACACATTTACACAAATTAAATCTGAGAAAATGCAACAAAAACAACAATTGACACCAGAAAAAAACGCCTGACGATTAAATATCGAATTAAAATTGATTGATTTTAGAGTTAGAAAACAGGAATGCAGCTACCAATAACTTTGAAGAAGTTTGAATTAATTTGAGTTAACAACATTTAATTTCCCTTTCGGACCAGTAAAGTACTGTTTCAATTTTAATTTCAATTTCACATGACAGAAGATAAATTAAGCAAAGACCAGTCATAGAGGAAAACATGAGAGACTAAACAAGCACAGCAAACACCCTAAACATTGAGACCAGAAGTATCTTATAATCGTTCAGAGTATTGAACTGTCCTAGTTGTATTTAAATTTGTGGTGACGCTTGTGATATAAAGGCAGCAGAAATGGCTTGCAACATGCTGTCAGTTTTCATCTTTAGTTTGCCACCAGCCGTGGGAACGAAGGCAGTGAAGATCTGTCCGTCTATTGCTCGCTGCGAGAACTGCATGTGTGTGTGGAGGCAGAGGCTTTTGAACCTGCTGGTTCTTACATTGTTGCTCAATGAAGTGGGGAGGGAAATGCAGATTCCACCGCTGGCCTCGCTTTTGTGCTGCGGCTTTGCAAATGAGGCAGTGCACGGCCCAGCAACAGAGAGGCCTGATGTTCTGGGATTTGTCTGTTTGGGAACAATGCAGGTGTCACACCGATTCTCCCCGGCTGCACAGAAACATACTCATACAGACAATCAGTCTGTGTCTGGTGAAAGTAAATGACTGGTCGACACATTTTTCATGTAAAAATCGTAGACTTTTGAGGACTCAACTCTGTGGAAATTTTGGTATCAATGTTAGAATGAGGCTTTGAATTTGGAGTTTGGATAAACCAGAAATGAGGAAGGATTGGATGAAAGAGGAAATGAAGGACACAAGAAAGGAAAGAAATGGAGGAAGAGGTAAGTGACTAAGGACCTTTTTATGAGCCAGAAAAAAAAGAAAGGCACAGGGAAGGACTGAACAAAAAATACAGAAAGAAATGATTCAAGGAAGGATGTTAAGGAAAGAAGGACAGAAAGGATAAAGGAAGGAATTAAAGAATGACATGAAAAAGAAAGACAGAGGGACACAAGGTGCAAAGGAAAGAGCACAATAAAATAAATACATGAAGAATGAACCAAAACAAGTAGGGAAACCATGAATTAAAATTGCATGAGACTTCTGCTGTCCATTCTTGCAGAAACTCTGTGTTGATGTCCGTCTTGGGCAACGGTGGCTGGAGCCTCTTGGTTGTCCAGAACCCTTCTCGACTCCAACAATCATTCTCACATTTTGAAGTTCTTGGTGATCTGGAAAGCTGTTTGTAATGCTAATATGTCTACCAGCAACTTTTTAGGCTATTGTGAAACAAAAATGCAGCGTCCAAAACAAAACAGTGATATCACTGTCAAAAGTTGGTGCTATGACGGTCCATCCGACATGGCCCAGCTGATCAGACTGCATTGTGCATATTTGGAGTAAAAAAACACATTTTGCTGCCAGCCCTGAATCATCCTTGAGCTATTTTGGATTGAACACGCAGCCAGAGTCGAGGTGAAATAGGAAGTACTGCAGGAGAAATTCAGGCTCGGTGCTGTTTCCAAAACCCACCGGCCTGTCAGAGGATTTATTTATGATGCCGCCCGTGTTGGAAAAACACCACAAAGCCATACCAGCTTGTGTGGAGATTAGAAATACAGACTCTTCAATTCATGTGACCTGTTTTATGTTTGCATTGAGGAGAGGGAAAAAAAATCCCACAGGACCTCAAAGTAAAACATGTGACCTCCTCGTACAAGAAACCATGCCATGGTCTTAACTGAGGAACCAGCTGCTGTAAGGTACAGTAAATAACACAGTGAAAGACAGCTCTATGTTTCGGCATCTAATACGGCTCTGTATGCGTGCTGTTTTACTCACTCGGGACTAATCTCGCTTCTTAAATACCTGGATTTCCACGGGGAGAGATTAAAACTCAAGTCACACAGAGCAAAACCCAGATTAAGCAGTAATGTCAGCACTCACTGCTTTGATAAAATCAATGCTCAGCAGACCAAAACAATCGACAGTCGTAGAACTTTACACTGACTGAGAACAAGCTTAACTGGATTGTGAAATACACACTGTTGACCAAAACTAATGTGGAGTGCAGGTCATTAGGCTGAGGTCTGTTGTCCATCATCTCCTCTGATGTTAACAGTTTCCTACACCAGAAACAGCTCTGCTTGCTTCCTCTTTAAACCCAATGCCTATATATGGGCAATCCCTTTGTTCTTGCACTTCACTGTAACATTTGTTACTGACACATGATTTGGATAAGTTCTTTAAATACTCACCTCTCTTTGGAGAAAAGACTCAACCCTTTCATCAACTTTAGAGGTTGATGTCTTTACGTTGTAAATTAAATACTTGGATCAATATTTTAACTTTAATTTACATTACAAGAAAAAGCATTGATCTGGGAGGATGTGCATGTGTGCAACGTAAAACCTGGTTTTGCTGAGCAGTAACACAGAGTCACTCTAGAGTCTGATAAATCACAAAGAAGTTCACATTTCCAGACCTCCAGGCTTCAAAAGGACTTGTACTTTTGAAGTTTGCTAGATAAGTCCAGCTGTGGAAATACCGGAAAATAGTGGCAATCCCTTTATGCTCATCGAGGTGAAATAGGAATTACTGATGTAGCAGTAGTTACTGCTACATCAGTAATTAAAATTTGTCCGGCCATGAAAATTTGGTGCTATTGTAAATGGCTCACGTAATCATTTCTCTTTGCATCAAAGCAAAGACAGACTGACTTTGGTGAATTTGTCTTGTTATTTTTTTGTATATTGCCAATTCTCACCAGATGGGGGTGCGGGGGGATTTCACATCAACAACCAACAATTTCAAGCAATTTTCTATATCTTTCTCATAGTTTACTGTACGGAAACCTGGCTCCCAGGTTTATATACCATGCACGAGAAGGCGGTCGCTTAGTGTATTTTTCTTTTATTATTTGGGTTTGTTTTTTTTTTATGTTGGGGAGTCCATGATTTGATGGAAGTGGCAAGGAGCAAAACGGTAAGCCATAGGTGTGAATTGAGTGTTCATATTGATCCGGAGCGACTCTTGTGTTTTGGAGCCTCGGTCTCATCTACTCACAAGAACTTTCTATTCAAGCACCCTTGCCTTTGTCTTCAGAAGAAACTGTAGCAGAGAACATTTCACTCTTCTCATGAGCCAAAAGGATGGCCCTCCCTCATTGCATCTCACTTGAATACCTTCAGCCCACTGCTTGATTATGAATGAAGGCGGGGAGAGTAAGGCATGGATGAACCTCTTTTGTGACTAGATGACAAGCTTCAATACATCAAACAAGCACCTACTGATGCAAAGTCGGCGCTATTCTTCTTTTTTTCTTTTTCTGTTTTTCCTCAGGATGAATTAGGCCTCTTCCCTCATTTCTTGCAGAACCGCCATTAAAGATAATCATATATGTCGCATGATGCCCACAAAAGACGGACCAATTTTCAGACGGACAATCGCGGGGTCTAGAAAACGAGCCTGCTGAGACGCTGGGAGAACACGCTGAGGCGTGCTTCAATCAAATCCAAATGCTTCTCATTGTGGAGATGTATGACAGGGAAATTAATTACAAGTAATTATTTGTTCATTCAGCTGCCCTGTAATTTGTTCCCTGCAAGCATCGAAAATAAAAGCTGGGGGTCCCGCATCTGACCCTCGTATATCAGACTCTTGTTGAAACCAACCGAGTACTTGGACTCAGTCCAGATATCTTGAAAGGAAACAGTGAATCAACCCACTCCTCCTTACTACCAGAAAACCTGGGATTCCTGCTCCAGATTCCTCCTCAATCTGAAAAAAAAAAAAAAAGATTCACAAGAAATCCTAAAAGCAGATTCCTGAAATTCTTTCAAAGCAAGCAACCCCGCAACCGTAACCAGCAGTAGTATTGATCACCACTGGAGTCGTTTTGTGGAGATTTTCGAATTAGCGCAAACGGATATTGAGAGGGCACCCGAAGCCTCTCCATCAAAATATTCAGAGAGGACCATTTCCGAGGCAGTGTTCTCAGCTCCTTCCTAGTGGGGTGAATGGCCTCTCTGTGCAACCTGCCAACTTTCTGCCAATGGCTGCTCTCTTTTACAAGTGAATAGACTGAGTTTAGCCACAGTTAAAAAGACACACTAACATGCCATGGCTGCCCCAACAATGGATGCTCGGGTTGTGTGCCAAACCTAATGATGGCGGCTTGGCCCCGGCGAGAGGAGGTAAAGAGGAGGAATCCTAAAGAGGCGCACAGCTGCACGGATCATCTCGTCTCTGCTCCTGCTGCCTTATCAGTGAACGCCTTTCCTTTTGCTTTTCTGGAAGAAACGGTCCAGCCAGGGTGGTTGAAGAAGTGTCTCACAACTTTGTGGGAATACATCTTGGAGAAAATCTCTACAAGTTTCGTGCATGATTCCCAGAACATCTTAAAACGTCTTGTTTTAGAAAAAAAAAAAAGTTCAAAGTCTTTGCAGTAACTTTGCAATAATCTGTCACATCACTGTAGAGGGATTTTGGCAGAATTATTTATGTTCAGTCACATTTTTGTTCAATCACTTTGGAGCATGAAATTAGTCTATTTTAACAGGTGTTTGTCAACAAAATTGACATCTTTGTGCACAATTTTCTCTCCACTGTCGCCACATGCTTGCTCAGGATGCTGCAGAGTCAGTAATGCTTGGGTTTCCTTGGATAACTTTGTACTAGTTGACATTTAAGTGATCAGCTGGATTGGACTGCATTGCTTAATAATTTGGATTCAAATGAACTTTATGTAATTGGATCATAATATGATTGGATTGCAATGGGGTAAATTTCACTCATTTCGACCTGGAGATGGCAGTTATTTTTTAAATTGGGGATAGTTGCATTTTCTGTCTTCTTTTGAAAAATTAACCTATCTTGTAACAGTATCACCAGCTGGAGTTGCTCAAATATATCCTCGCTAGTTTGTAATCACAGCTGCTTCACATACCGGACTGTCGTCACCAACACCGAGCAGGGACCGACAACATTCAGGAGCGCCAGAAAAAAAGACAGAATAATCCATTCAAAGCCACCTCACATGACCAGTGTTTGGGTCACATGACAGGACATGACAACTGAGCAAACTTCGTCCATTCAGGAGGACCACGGGAAAGCAAACAGGTGGAGGGCTGCTTCCCAACCCCAGAATGAAGAGTTGTGTTTAGTTTGGTGATTTTTATCCTTCTCAGCGCTATGATGTTCAGATGTTTCAGTAGATTTTCTGTTCTATCCAAGTAAAGTAACTAGCTGGATCCTTTCTGGCAACTTTATTTTTCTTTTTCTAAAGCCAACTGAGAGTTTACTTGACTGTGTGTTTGGGATCCTTGTTCCAAAAACACTGAAGTCTTTAGTAATTGTAAGGTTCTGTCATCAAAAATGTTTCAGTGCACTTCTCCTTTCTTCGTTCTTTCATTTAATTTGAACCTGCCAGTACCATGTTCTTAAAAGATAGCCCCAAACTAATGTCCAAAACTCTGGCCTCATCTGACCAGAGTCTGTTCTACTGGTATTTTATTGATTTGACCAGGTGTTTTGCAGCAAAAAGTGGAGTCTTGTGCAGACCAGGCCTCTCTAAAATGTCTGATTCTTGTTTTTTAATCCTCTGCTAAAATCTTGTAGACAGCACCTGGTCATGGCTGGTTGATAGAAAAATACCTACTTTGAATAACTGTTTCATTTAACTGCCTATGAGGAGGAAAATAATCAACTTTCTGGTCTTTATCGCCAATCAAAGCATAGATTTGTTAATCATAGCAATATATTTTTTCCTACTTCATGTTGACAGGTTCTAATATTTCTTCAGTCTGACAGTTATCAGGCCTGGGTCTGGCTAGTGAAATTGATTAACTATTATTAATTAATATGTTAACAAGGGAAACAATAATGTTTTCACATAGGGCAAGTTTGGTAGACCTGCTTTGTAGATCAAACAATTTGAAAACTGCCTTTCACATTTACTTGGTGAAATTCTCTGACAAAGTTAGTTTGATGCTCTGAAACATTTCAATATTTCAAATCTGTTTTGATATCAAGGATCATATTGGAAACGGATAACTTTGTGGACTCTTTCAGGTTGGCGATATTAGCATCACAACAAGAGCTTAGACCTCATTTCATCAACCACATGCCTCCTGCCTCACTTCTCTCACACAACTTTGGCTGAAAGGGAGCAACAGAAACATCCACCACACATCACCTGATGTCTTTAACAAACGGGTATCCATGCTGAATGCAGTGCATGGAGACGGCGATAAGTTGAAGGCAAAGAGCTTGCAGGACATGCGGTCATTCACAACAAAGGAGAATTACACGCACGGACAGAAAAACACAGCATTTGAACCGACACAGCCAGCTTCTCATGGACCACGTGCCTGCTTAGACACTGCATATTTATAATAAAAAAAATAAATAAAAAAAACCCTCACTTACTTGCTCACCATTACATCCAGAGTCTGCAGGAAAAAAACGAGAAGCAGTGCAGATCCCGGTGCCTCACATGGCGGGAGGGAAAGAGAGAGGTATGAAAACCACGAGGGGAAACTCGGTACACATCGACACACAGCCGCACGCTGACCGGAGAGGGAGCAGGGAGGTGGAGGAAGGCAGCAGTGTGTGTGTGTGCGTGTGTGTGTAGGAGAGAGAGATGAAGGGGGCAACAGGGGAGGACTGGGCATTTCTGTTTATGCTCAACAAACTGTAAAGTTTCTCCAAAAACTGAGCAACCAGTTTTAGATTTAGTTGAAGATTTTGTGTTAAAAAAGAACTGAATTCATGAGATTTGCAGAAAACAGATTCTCGTGTAAATCCATACTTCCCATATCCATATATGCATCCATACATAAGATCATTATGTGCAATGTTTTCTAAATGCCAAGAAAGAATGAATGGAGACTGATAATGTCTGATTCGATGTACTTATCAAGATTATTAATCTATAGATGTACAATCTCTGCAGCCGCTGCCTCCTGCTGGAGTAAAATGTCTCTGTTTCAGGCTTTAGTTTCCAGAACAACATATTTATTTTCTTATTCTACATACCAAGCTCTGTATTCAAGAAGCTGAATCCCTGCTTTCATTTCTGAGTTGGCTTTCTTGTGCAGTGCAAACATTACATTTGACCTTTCACCTGCAACAACTATGCTTTTCACCATGTCACTTCAAATTGTCCTCATCAGGCTTTAGACATAGTGAAAACAAACCTCTGCTAAATTAAATGTAGCATGTCACAACTTAGCAATTTGAGGGATGTGACATCGTTTGCAGGGCACTGCATGCTAGATTTGCAATACCGCGTCTTTACGTTGACATATTCGTCAACCCGTCTGTGTCAACAAGCAGAAAATATGACACTTTGTCTGAGACATCGGTCGGGCCTGGCTGCAGAATTGGCTGTCAATCTGATAAGGGGGCAGCGGTGACCTACCATTCAGAAATTAATGACAGCAATAAATCATGTGGCAGGCTCATTTGGCTCAACATGTGCGCAGTAGAGCATGAAAGACAAATAACACTTCCCGGCCTCATCCTCCGCTTTCACAGGGTGGACATCCATCTCTCTCAGCCTCAGCCTCGCCACAGCAGAGTCAGCCCCCCAGCCCTCCACTCCCCCACCTTTGAGGATGAATGGCTCGTTTCTGTGTAAACTTCAGGATGACCTCCTTGGGCTGTGTTTTTACGGCGCGCCTGTCACCACAGAGGCTAAAGGATTACAAGCATGGTGAGGGGTGAGCGAAAGTTGTGCTTTGACCAAAACTTCTCACGTCTTCTCACCCGACAGTTTGTCAGTTAAGCGAGTGAAAGTAATCATGGGCAACCACAGTTGTCTATGAATAGGTGAAATCTGTGAATACTTGAGACCTCCTCTAAAAACACTTGTAATTGCATGTTTTAATAGTTAAACACCAAATATAACTTAATCTGCATTAATATACACAGTGGAAACCATCTCAACACTACCGCAAATGTCTTCCTTACCTCTGCTCTTTAGAATACAACCAATGAAAATGAAATGAAAATGAATGGCAGTGTAAAGTAGCTTTTTACCTAGGGATTTTAGCTTCCAAAGCCACATTTTCTACGAAAAGATCTGCAAATAGGCTAATTTTCAATATGGAGTCACGTTCCACAGCAAAATCCATGATGACTGAGCTGCGTAGCTACAGCAGTAGTTTGTTAAATTATTGCTCAGACTGTAAATAAGGACACGTTCAATGGATTTTATCGTAGCCGTTTCCTGACTTTTAAGAAGCAACACACATCTGCCTTATTTGACATGTTCTTATGTCTTTCCTATGTTGAAAAGCTGCCAAGGAAAATGGTTCTCTGCGTCATATTTGTACCTCAGTGAAACTGGAAGCCATCCATCTGAAAAACACAAATCCTCTACTGGTTTTTGAGACCATAGGGCTGGAACAAGTCATCAATTAACCTGTTGATTAATCAGATAAAAATATTGGCACACTGCAGATTTTTTTAATTTAAGCCATTTTTTTATACAATGTAAAAAATACATTAAAATACTGAAATATCCATTGTTATATGGAAAAAAGCCCATCGATCTTACACAGCCTCATTAATCTATGATCGGCAGCACTGGAGGCATGAAGTGGCGTCCCAACAACACGTAACCCCCTGCGTCAGCCCTCCTCACCTCCCATCTTTCAATGGACGCCTTGTGCTGCACATAGAGCTGCACTGTGAAGCAGATCTGTGTGTCACAGAGAAATATTGACTTTTAATTCTTCAAACATGCAGCTTACTTCGCGTCGAAGACTGGCTGTGTTGATCTTTGGAAACCCTTACGGCCACTGAGGTCCACCTTTCCGTGGGAGCTGTAAAAAACCCAGCTAGCAAGAGACACACAATCGTTCACACATTCAGGTGGTTTCCACCGGCACAATAATATGCACAGTGAATCATAAATAAAAACTACATGAAATTCTGGAGAATGTTATGAGAAGTAAGCCCAAGACCTTCACATGAAGTCGTCAAAACAAAACATCTGCTCTGCATCTGCCAGTGTGTCCTTTTTAGATTTTATATTTTGCTCTTCTTCTGGTTTGGAAATAAAAATGCAAAATGGCGCAACTGTGGTTTTTGAGAGCAGGTAGTTTGAGCTATTTTTTGACTTTGGTTGGGATCTCATGCAGTTCCACTCGCTGCCCATTAACCCTTTAAAGGTTTCAGAGGCTGCAGAGAAAGCAATCTTACATTTAGTCTGCACATCATTAGATTAAAAAAAAAATTGTATACATAAGTGAATAGACGTCATGAACGGCGATACACATTGAGACTTGCTACACTTACATGTTTAAATCATTAAACAAATTTTCAAACAATCTGTTCAAACTCATACCACAACTTCTTAACCTGTCATTCACGAGAGGACCCAAATTTGGGTCTTCTCGTGACAGGGGTGTCAAACTCCCGTCCTCAAGGGCCTCTGTCCTGCAACTTTTAGATGTGCCTCTGCTGCACCACACCTGAAAAGAATAATTAGGTCATTAGCAAGGCTCAGGAGAACGATCTACACAGGGAGGAGGTAATTAAGCCATTTCATTCCACTGGTTTTTACCTGTGGCACATCTAAACACTGCAGGACAGCGGGCCTTGAGGACTGGAGTTTGACACCCCTGTCATTGTGAATGACAACCTATGAACAACAGGTTAAGGTTCTTACTTTTACTAGGCCACTCCAGAATCTTTATTCTGGTCATTTTACAGGTGCTGCAGATTTTGTGTCCTTTTAAGGGGTGAATGCAGATTCAATGTGCTGAGAATTTCTTGAATCATATCTGCATCACCTTCTGCTGCTTCCCAAACACTCATTTCTATGCTCACATGCTGACGTCGAAACTCTGTTTCCTACAAGAATTACAAGAAAAAGTCTCAACATGTTTGGTTAAACAAATAAAGGTCAAGCACCCCCTTAGAGCCTCCTATTTGTTTTGGCCTGAGTGAGCTAGAAAGGCTAAACGCTCAGCTTCCTGTGAATTACAAAAAACAACTTCAGGCTTCCACTTTTTCACTTCAGCTTGGTGTGGTGCCAGCGCCCAGCTGTGTTTCTGCAAACACCGAGGCAGGACTCAACAGGAGGTTAAATAAACCCCATGGATTAATTTCAACTTTTATTGATTTATTTACCAACTCTCAAGCAAATACTTGCAGGGTTATATGTTCATATCTGAGGTAATATTTACACTTTTAGCTCAAAAAGATTAGAGAAAAAAAAACAATAAATTCAAACCTGCTCACTCAGTTGTTTTTAGAATCATTGTGTTGTACGTGGCATAATTATACACCATTCCTATGGTGAACCACAACAGTTGCAGCATCATGCTGTGGCGATGCTTTTCTTCAGCAGGGATCAAAACTCTATCCAGTCAGAGGTGCAGTGGATACTTTAGATCTAAAATGTTCTAGTCAAAGCCTAGACCTGAATCGGATTAAGAATTGATCTCCACAGACGCTTTACATCTACATTTGTTGTGGAAGATACGAAGGATTGACTCATGATGCGAAATAAAAATGCACGCCACACTTTTCAGATTTTGTTTAATTGATTAAAAAAAATCAGATAAAATACTGCAAGGTTCATATTTCAGACTGACAAAATGACTGATAATGTCTGCTCTCTGCAAACCTGACAGTGGATTTTAGACTCTACCACTAGAGGGTGCTGTGGAGTGAGGCTGAATTGTTAAATAACACATTTTGTCGACACAGACCTTTTGATGTTTCACCTTTCTGTTGTTAGAGATGATTAAAATGCTCATAGTGACAGTAGATACTGTTAAATGCTGTTAAGCTTTACTCATATGATTTTCAAAATCAGAAATATCCTAGACACCTAAATAAACTAAGAGATTTAAGATCTATTGGAATGTTTACTAAAGAAGGGAGTTTGTAAGTTTTTTTTTTTTTTCTTGTACCAAGCAATCAGTTTTGAAAAGCAATTATAGGTACATATTTGAAGCATGATTTGCTACCATCTAGTGGATAAAAATATATAACATCGTCTCCAAAAACCCTACAAGGTAAAATTAGATATATTAGAATATTGTCTAACCCAGGGGTGTCAAACTCCAGTCCTCAAGGGCCTCTGTCCTGCAACTTTTAGATGTGCCTCTGCTGCACCACACCTGAAAAGAATAATTAGGTCATTAGCAAGGCTCAGGAGAACCATCTACACAGGGAGGAGGTAATTAAGCCATTTCATTCCACTGTTTTTTACCTGTGGCACATCTAAACACTGCAGGACAGCGGCCCTTGAGGACTGGAGTTTAACACCCCTGGTCTAACCCAAAATTGAGTTTCTCAAAACATTACATTGTTACATAAGGCCATTAAGAAAGTTACCACTTCCTCCAGTCATTAGGATTATAGATTATCTTCCTTTATTCAAAACACACCTGTTCAAAATTGATTTTTCACTTTACACATGGATTTGAGCTGTTGTCAAATCGTGTTTTCTGATTTGCTTTTTTAAATTAACTGTTTTGTTGATAATTCGTTTATTTGTTCTTCGTAAGGTGGCCTTGGGTTTTAGCAAGGCACCCTACAATAAAATGTGTTATTGGTATTATTACAGTCATGAGACGGTCATACAGCAACAATCTAAAGTCAGAGACCTTTTCAGATACGCTGGAAGACTGACCTCTATCTGAGATCCTTCTTGCCCACAATGAATGAAAATAATTGGATGATATGAATTAGATAACTTTTAAATTCCTTTTAGGATGAAAAAAATATTTTTTTAATTGAAGTCACAGATTCTACTATCTTGTTGCGATTTCTGTGGGTCTATTGGATCCTGGAGACAAATAACCAAGTTATTATCATAATAACACCATTACATTCATGTTTTTATTCTCTTAGCATTGACGTAATAAACTCCCGCGCTTTGACAGCTCACTGGTAGCCAATGCAAACAATATATTCACGTTTCTGTGTCGCATTAGCCAATAAGGACATGGAGTCCCTATTGGCCAATAGCGAGCGCCCGCTGCTAAGTCCGTGGTCCAATAATCGGTGGGTAGAGTTGCTAGAGCCAGCCAATGGTGCGGTCTCTAAATTGTGCGGCCAAAGCTGCGTCTGCCGGGTTCATTTCGCCGCTTCTCCACCCGGCTGGTCTTTTTTGGATCTAACCGCAATGGCGGAACAGCAGCAGTTCTACCTCTTGCTGGGGAACCTTATGAACGCTGACAACAATGTCAGGAAACAGGCAGAGGTAAGACGAGACACGGTTTTGGAAGAGTGTAGAAAACAAGCTAACTGCCGATAGCCGTTGAGCTTGGCCGCGCGCTGCTAGCTCTCGCGGCAGACTCAGTAGCCCACGTGTGATGTGAACCCGAGCAACGGCCAGCTAATGGCTACCTACTACCGTGTTGCGTAGTTAATGTGAACCCAAACATGCCGTGGGGATGCTAGATATTTTACGCTGCGTTGGAAACGCGTCAGTGTTTGTCTTAGTGGCGCTAAGGAGCGCTGGTAGAAAGCGAAAGGAACCCGTTTCTTACGTCCCAATCTCAAATCTCCAGCTGACAGGAAGTAGCGTGGAGCTAAGCGGCTACCACATCGCTTCTGCTAGCTTCGATTAGCTCCAAGCACACTACTTACAAGCTAAACATGGACATTAAAGCTTAGTGTGACCCCATAGGTTACAATAGGTTTATTATGATACACCACAAACCCACACATGGATGCCGTGATAATAGTCAGATTATTCAAAGGGTGACATATGCTGGCATTAATTAAGTAAACGGCCTTTGGTGTTTTTAACTAAAAACTTGAAGTTTCAGGACGTATCGTCGCTTTTCACTTCATTGCAATGCTACTCATGAAGTCATTTTGTTACTACCCAGACCCGGTAGATTAGTTTGGCTGAGGATTTTGCTGTGCTTGTGACTAAGCTGGCCTGTTCCCTTTCTTCCCCCTCCCCACACACATACACCATCACCATGAGCCTCTTTACCGCGGCAAAGCATTGTTATGTTTCCCTCCCTGGTAGCCGACTTTTGCATGAGGTAGTTGAATCTTATCACCCTCCCCCGTCACTGGGAGTCAGCGCTTTCCTTTATAAAGCACAGCCAGCCTGTCGCAATACTAAGCTCATTGGTATTCATCCGGGATGGAAACTTCCCCGTTCTGTCCTGCACACCATAATGGGGAATTGATCCAGATGTCAAAACGCTAAAACTTATTTTAATAGATGTAAAATAACTCCTTAATATTTAGGTTTTAATCCTGTAGGTGAATGGGAATTGAATGATTTTCAATGTGCCTTTCATTTTTTTATTTAAGCATGTTTGCTGAATGTGACTGAGGTTAGTCAGGAAGCCTGTTTTTTTTTTTTTTTTTTTTAAGAGGATATGCAAAAGTTTAGTTGGTGTCATGTTTTGACCTTTACTCCAGACAAATGAATCCTTACAATAAAAATATCAAAATGACGATACAGACATGTTGAGTTATTCAAAGAAATGGTGTGTAACCCAAATTAATCATTTATGGAAAATGTGAAAAAGTCTGCAAGAATGTTAACAGAAAACCAAACGTGTCCTACTTGTAACTAAGGCTGATGCAATAAGAAACTAATCAATAGCATGCTAAATTTAAATTGAGCTCAGTAATTAACTTTTTCAATACTTTTTAATGGGATTGATTGTTTTTGATTGTCATGTTTTATTTTCTTCTGTACAGAATTTAAGGCTTTAGTCTTTGAGAGGACGACCTGACATTATTATGCCTTTTTTTATCATTGTATCACTTGAAAATGGTCACAAGACAATCGCAATAAGTACCAGGACACTTAATCATCAAGCAAAATTGATTGTGAGAGGCTTAATTGTAACAAAGGGAAGTGACTGGCATTGTGCAGCTCATTGAATGTCGATTGCACTTTTTCAAGAATGTAGACATTAAATGAGTTTGACATGAAAACTCTTTGGTACCTCGTAACACTGCAACCAAAAATCGTGTCTTTTACTGGTGTTGCCCATTGTTTATGCACACTGTAATGGATACTCGCCTCAAAAACATTGCTGTTTGAAATTCCATGTGCTTAGTAAGGAATCTGATTTCATCACAAAAGTGTCGTCACACTGGTGCCTCTCCCTGTTGTTTGCAATGCAAACATATTCACTCTGCTGCACCCAGGAGTTAATCCCATTTTTGTGTTTTTGTTCTCTTATCAGATAAAGTTGATTGAATTTACCTTATAATCCACTCATATCTTAACTGCATCTTCAAAGCACACATTCAAGGTACCGCTGTATCCCCAAAGAGCCTCCAGTGTGCCTGCAATTCCCATTTGTTTTTAACCAGGCTAACTGCTTCAAGTTCAAGCTAAACATGATCCAAATACAAAAAATAAAAATATGAATGGCTCTTAAAGTTCAGGATCTGACTTATAAATATTTAGAATGTCACATCCCTTTAGTGCAAAAGAGAACAAAGCTCTACTAAGTTGAGGGAGAAATTAGGCAAAAGAGGCTTACAGTTGCTTATATTATGAATAAATACGGTAAAGTGGAATTTGGTTATCTAAGTAATTTTATGTCTGCTTTTTTCCTGTTGTCAAACAGCTTGTTTTTTGTTTTTGTTTTTCTTACATTGTTTCAAAACACCAGTGATGATGCTTTCGTCTGGCATCCAAGTAAAGAAAGAAACTGGATTTTTCTTTCCCCAAAGAGTTCAAAGGAAATATGTCCGACTTATCGCTGTGCACTTTCTTCTTTTTTTTTTTCTTTTTCTTCGCAGGAAACTTATGACAATATCCCAGGCCAGAACAAAATCACATTCCTGCTGCAGGCCATCAGAGATGCATCAGCTGCAGAGGAGGTTTGTACATTAAATCCAAATGTGTCGAGTTGTTTCAGTCTGCAGCAGTGAGGACAAACCGGTGCTGCCTACAACCAAATGCGGTTATTAAAGTGTCCAGGGAGCACTAAGGGCATCTGAAGAATCCAGTTGTCACATGCGGGATCTCACCACAGCCTGACAGCATGACTCATCGTGTTACCATTTGGTTAAGTTGACTGTGACTCCACCAGCTGCTCGGCCCCTCGTGCTTCCTCCCTTTTCCTTTACCTCAAGGCTGATATTTTTAGACTTTTTAGAAACGGGAGCAGGCAGCGAGGTGCTGGGGGGAGTGACTCTGCTTTTTAAGATGTTGCAGCTTCTCTCAACCTTGACGTTTTATGTTGCATGTATGCATTCCAGCTGTGTGCTGAATGAATTTACAAGTGTTGGGTTTTATTTTAAATTGAGCTTTGTTTTTCTCTCCTCAGGTCAGGCAGATGGCGGCGGTGCTGCTGCGGCGGCTGCTGTCGTCTTCCTTTGAGGAAATCTATCCAGGTTTGACGCTGGCGATGCAGACGGCCATCAAGACGGAGCTGCTGTCCAGCATCCAGCAGGAGGCGTCGCCAAACATTCGCAAGAAGGTCTGCGACATCGCAGCTGAGCTCTGCCGCAACCTCATTGGTAAAGTCAGACGTTTCAACAACCTTTTAATATTTTACTCCACAAGCCAGTTTGTCGTACATCTCAGTGGTCTGTTGATCAAATATTTTATCTTTTTGGTAATTTTCAACTCTAGATGATGATGGGAATAACCAGTGGCCAGAAGTACTGAAGTTCCTCTTCGACTCTGTGAACTCGGATAACGTTGGTCTGCGAGAAGCCGCCCTTCACATATTCTGGTGAGCTTCAGCTGCCTTCACCCGCCTGTCCATTCAGAAAGACGTCCCAGTGTCTGACGCTCTTCCCTGTGCTTTAGGAACTTCCCAGGAATCTTTGGCAACCAGCAGCAGCACTACCTGGAAGTTATCAAGCGCATGCTTGTTCAGTGCATGCAGGACCAAGCAAACCCACATGTAAAAACCCAGCAACATGTCTGCTGCCCTTTCAGTTTTACCAACAAGAGATTGAGTTTTTGTTCTATGCCTCCAGATTCGCACCCTGGCAGCTCGGGCAGCGGCATCGTTTGTTCTGTCCAACGAAGGCAACACAGCTCTGCTGAAGCATTTTGCCGACTTGTTGCCTGGAATCCTGCAGGTAGGATTCTACACTCCATGTTGATGCATTTTTTTCCCCAGCACAATATTTCATATTGCAAACTTTGTACAGGACTCCTAGAATCCTTGAAATGCTTGAATTTCAATAAGGTGTTTTCAATGTTTGTAAACTTTCATTTCTGTATAAAATCCTTGAAAGAGGTCGATATTCAAACTGCACAGTTTTATAATGAAGTGCAATCTGAACATTTGCAGTTGTAACCAGATATTTTAAGATGAATAAGATTTTTTTTTTCACTGAAGTTGAATCAGACTAAATTTCTCTCTGCACAGCATCCTAAACCAGTCAGTAATTTTACCATTAAATGCCTCAACCAAAGAAACTGAGCTAAAATCTGCAAAAAGAGCAAATCAGAACAAACTGAAATGCTGCCACCTGTGAAAACGTGTCAAAATGACAGGTGCTTCAATGCAATGATCTCACTATTGAATATTTTCCTGATGGCATGAAGCTCAAACTAGCATCTGTCTTTTCATGGTCAGGCGGTGAACGAGTCATGTTACCAAGGAGACGACTCTGTGCTGAAGTCTTTGGTGGAGATCGCAGATACGGCCCCCAAGTACCTGAGACCCAACCTGGAGGCGACGCTGCAGCTCTGCCTGAAGGTGCGTTCAGTTTAGTCGCCCTGACGTCAGAAACCACATCAGACCCTGACCCGTTTGCTTAACCTGCTGTCCTGTCCCCTCAGCTGTGTGCCGACACAAACCTGACCAACATGCAGAGGCAGTTGGCCTTGGAGGTTATCGTCACGCTATCGGAGACGGCGGCGGCCATGCTGAGGAAACACACGGCTATCGTAGCGCAGAGCGGTGAGGATGCGGCTCGTCGTCTAGAAGCAGTATTTTTATTTTTTTTGTCTAGTTTCTAGTGGAAATACCTTTGTACACTTGGAATAAGACAAAACTAACTTACTAAGTAACTCCTTAACAAGTAACTGAATATTTTAAGCAAATTATTCCTTAATATTGATGTAGATTTTTTTTTTGTTTAAAATGTTTTGTTCGAAGTAAAATAATTTCAGTTGAAGTAGAACTTTTTAATCAATGTCAAGGAATTATTGACTTAAAATAATCATCTTCTTGCTCAGAAGTTACTTGACCGTTATTTTTGTGTACTAAGATACTAGACAAAAACACTTGGTAAGAGTTTCTGTTTTTTTTTTTTTTTTGCATTGGTCTCATTTTCTAGTTGCTAAAACCTTTTAATCCCAGTTCCCCAGATGCTGACCATGATGGTGGACCTCGAAGATGACGATGAGTGGGCCATGGCTGACGAACTAGAGGATGATGACTTTGACAGGTAGGCTGCAGCGCCACCTGCTTCACCTGCAGTGCAGGAAATGTAAATGGCTCATTTCTGACCGTGTGTTGTTGCTCATCAGCAACGCTGTGGCTGGGGAGAGCGCCCTTGACAGAATTGCCTGCGGTTTGGGAGGGAAGATCATTTTGCCCATGATCAAGCAGCACATCATGCAGATGCTGCAGAACCGTAAGTAAAGGTGCTCAATGTAGATGTATTTTTTAAATTTACCATCTTAGTCTTGGCCTTAAGTTTTATTTGTTTCCATCTGTCAACAGCTGACTGGAAGTACCGTCATGCTGGGTTGATGGCTCTGTCTGCGATCGGTGAAGGTTGCCACCAGCAGATGGAGGCCATTCTCCAAGAGATAGTCAGCTTCGTCCTCCTCTTCTGCTCTGATCCAGTAAGAAACATTCAGGTTTCCATACGTTCGCCATGTGCAGATTGATAAGTTAATGGTGCTTCTTTTAGGGGTTACTTTGTGGGTTTCCTGCTATAATGTAGGATAAATATTGTCTCAAATATGGTCCATTTAATTTTTATTGGTGGCTTAAGTTGTTCTGACTTGAAACTGTGATTTTGTTAAAGCAAAATACTGCTGCACACTTTGTTTTTGGCAAGAGGCTCAGGGCAATCTAGAGTCTAACCTGTACAAGTTTTTGTTTTATTTTATTTTTTTACATTTAGTAGTTTGGACTGTATACAAACTATACACAAAACCAAACGTTTTGGTTTGCAGGCAAAAACTGACCACAAATTAGATTTTTTTTTTTTCTTTGTTTCACCTACAGTAAAATAAGCACACAGTGTTTTCATTTTGTTCAAATGTCTTATCAAAACGCACATTGTTCTAGTTTTTGGTTTTTAAATTTTGACAAGAATTGGATTTGCATCACTCTTCAAAAGCATACTGACGTTTGCAGAGATAAATACTTGGTGTAATTAAAACTTTCCATTTCAATTGGTCTGAAAAATCTTGCCCAATTAAAAAAGTCAATCTGTGCTTCTTGTTGAGTTTGTCGTCTTTTCTCCGTTCTCAGCACCCAAGAGTCCGCTACGCTGCCTGCAACGCCATTGGACAGATGGCCACAGACTTTGCTCCAACCTTTCAAAAGAAGTTCCACGATAAGGTAGCAGGGAAGACGATTAACTTCTGCAAATGTTTGTTCCCGGAGGAATAAAAAGTGAACTTAACGACTGTAACTCGTGGCAGGTTATCTCAGCTCTGCTGCAGACGATGGAGGATCAGAGTAACCCTCGGGTCCAGGCGCACGCCGCCGCTGCGCTCATCAACTTCACAGAGGACTGTCCCAAATCCCTGCTGATTCCATACCTGGACAGCTTGGTGCAGCACCTTCACGTCATCATGGTGGCCAAGCTGCAGGAGGTAGTAAACGCCCCCACTGAGTGAGGACCGTTCAAACCGTTTGAAGGCTTAACGTCTTTTCTCTTCGCGTTGCCAGCTGATCCAGAAAGGAACCAAGCTGGTCCTGGAGCAGGTGGTGACGTCCATCGCCTCGGTGGCCGACACGGCCGAGGAAAAGTTTGTGCCGTACTATGACCTCTTCATGCCCTCGCTCAAGCACATTGTGGAGAACGCCGTGCAGAAAGAGCTGCGGCTGCTGCGGGGGAAGACGATAGAGTGCATCAGTCTGATCGGTCTGGCTGTTGGCAAGGACAAGGTATGTTTCGGGGCCTGAATGTGTGAGCCAACCGCTTTCCATACAGCTTGAGACAATCCCATTTGTTTGTGCTTTGCTAGTTCATGCCGGACGCCTCTGCAGTGATGCAGCTGCTCCTTAAAACCCAGACGGACTTTAACGACCTGGAAGACGACGATCCTCAGGTGGGAGAGTTCAATTATTAATGTTTGATTGTTTTTTTTAAGCCATTCTGACAGAATCTGTTTGTGCTTTAGATTTCCTACATGATATCAGCCTGGGCCAGGATGTGCAAGATCCTGGGGAAGGAGTTTCAGCAGTACCTCCCTGTGGTGATGGGGCCCTTAATGAAAACCGCCTCCATCAAACCCGAAGTGGCTCTCCTCGACAGTAAGCAACCAAAACAAATATTGTTTGTTCCCATTGGACATGAGTTCTGTTTTCTAATTTCATTTCCAAAATGAAGATGCATGACTGACGATGCGTTCACTGTAGCTCAGGACATGGAGAACATATCTGAGGAGGAGGGATGGGAGTTTGTGAACCTGGGAGACCAGCAGAGTTTTGGAATAAAGACAGCCGGCCTGGAGGAGAAGGCCACTGCCTGCCAGATGCTGGTGAGCAGAAAACTATTTATGATTCATGTGTGATGAGAAATTGTTGTTTTGATCAGCCTGATTGGTGCTGGTTTTCAGTTCTGTTAATAAGCTGCTTCTTCTTCTTCTTCTTCTTCTTCTTCTACTAGGTGTGTTATGCCAAAGAGCTGAAGGAGGGTTTTGTGGAGTACACAGAGCAGGTGGTGAAGCTCATGGTTCCTCTGCTCAAGTTTTACTTTCACGATGATATCCTTTCTTAACCTTTAAAATTTCAAGTACCGCATTTTCCGTTCTATAAGGTGCACCTTCAATGAATGGCCTATTTTAAAACTTTTTTCATATATAAGGCGCATAGAACAGACACTACAGTTAGGGTTGCCCCCTTCCCGTATTGAACCTACAGGACGCGATTTGTTCTGTACTCTATAAATATGGATGTGTAATAATAAAGAAGTGGTTCCCAAGTACTTTATATAGTAGGCTGCCCCAGTCATTGTTTCACTCACGGTGTTGGTGTTGCGATATTTTGCCCAACTGCTTTCTGGGTAACAGACCAACCAACATGCTGCCGCTGCAGTCTCTGTCTCTCTTCCCTCGCCCCCTCCTGGCTTTAAATGTATAGGGGCTGGTCCCTTGGCAATCCTAGTCGAAGCACCCTGGATGAATGTCTAAAGCTACTTTGTTGATATAAAGAATGTCAACAAAACAGTCCGACTCTGGTTGGCAAGGAGAGCCTTCCACGACTGGACTGGGCTGGGGTGTGGCCGGACAATGGTCACCCTTCTCCGTTCACGCACAGCATGTTGGTGGAGAACGTGGTGCTAAATGACCTGCAGACGACCCGATTCTAGACGGTTGGTGGGTAGATAGGTCAGCCAAACTTTATTAACAAACCAGCGTTCTGACAACTATCACAGCATGCAACGCGCGCTTCTTCTTCTACAGGCGAAAATAAAGTCGGCGGCTGCTTACCGTAGTTGCTAGAGCTGTTGTGGCTCAATATTGGTCCATATATAAGGCGCGCTGTCGGTGTTTGAGCAAATTAAAGGTTTTTATGTGCGCCTTATAGTGCGGAAAATACAGTAATGTTCTTACTTGTTTTAGTAGGTGACTAGACTTGTGAAACTTGATTCCATGCTCCATTTTTGTTTGTGTGTTACACTGAGTGCAGTAAGTTAATAGTAAATATGTCTTTGCTTAAAAAATGGGACTAAAATGAGATCAGGACTGTTGAAAACATAGAAATGGCAGATGTTTTTCTTTAACCGTGTAACGTGTGAGAGTGGCTGCGGCTGAGTCCATGCCGCTGCTGCTGGAGTGCGCCCGGGTTCGGGGACCAGAGTACCTCACCCAGATGTGGCACTTCATGTGTGACGCGCTCATCAAGGCCATCGGCACGGAGCCTGACTCGGACGTCCTTTCTGAAATCATGCATTCTTTCGCCAAGGTGAGTCTCAACGCCTCTGTTCCACCAACATGTATCAAAGAAACAAGTCAGGCCTTACCAACCTGGGTAGGGGCAGCTTTTTGCTGCTAAATTATCCAGTAATTTAACAACAACAAAGATATTTCTCTTCAATGTGTTTTTTTTTTTTTTTTTAGCAGTTAGATTCCAGCATCCCACAAAGATGTTCTGTTTGAAACCAAAATTAACCAAGAGTGCTTTGTCATCCATTCCTGGCACGCCCTTAGATCTGATGCACAAGTGACATTTGAAAATGGAATA